TGTATGGTGAATTTTTTGTTCTAATGTAAAATGTGTAGTTATTTAAGAAAGTACAGGGAAAAGCAAAAAGTCCAAGTATTTCATAAACAATCTGTGTAAGTCATAAGGTTTGTGAAAAGAAAACTTATGAAATAAATTTTGTATATAATCAAGTTGGCTATAATGAAAAGGAAATGCCTTTGAAAAGATCGATATTTGATATTAAAAATACACTACAAAAAAAAAAAAACCACAAAAAGTTTGGTTCCCTGTGTTAGAACAAGAAGATTTGCTTAAAAGATTGCTTTGCTTTTAATAAAATTAAAAGAGGTGCTAATTTTTAATTCTGAAATCTCTTTCTCTTTAAAACTTTTTTTTTTTTTTTTTTTTTTGAGGTGGAGTCTCACTCTGTCACCCAGGCTAGCGTGCAGTGGTGCAATCTCAGCTCACAGCAACCTCTGCCTTCTGGGTTCCAGTGATTCTCCTGCCTAAGCTGCGTAGGTATCTGGGACTACAGGCATATGCCACCACGCCTGGTTAATTTTTTTTGTTCATTTGCATTTTTAGGAGAGACAGAGTTTCACCATGTTAACCAGGATGGTCTCAAATTTCTGACTTCAGGTGATCCACCTGCCTCGGCTTCCCACAATGCTGGGATTACAGGTGTGAGCCACCAGGCCTAGCCAAAAACTTATTTTTATTAAGAAAATTTCTGTATTGTCTTTATTAAGTTTTTGATTACTCAAGAAAACTGAGCTTTAAAAGGGCTAAGATTTTTTTACTTCCATGTAACTTTCTGTATTGCTTTTGAAGTCTTTTGATTATTGCTCTGGTTAAAAGAATAATTATCATTTTACAATGATCTGTGATTCCATTTCGATCAAGTGTTTATACCTTTTGACATCTTCGGCACGTTTCTGCAAGATTAAAATCCTAAATTAAGCTTTTCTGGCCTAAAGCTCACTTTGGTATTTTCCAGTTGGACCCCGCAGGAGTCTCAAAGAATGTATCTCTCCTCTTGCAGAGATGTTAAATGATTAGACTGATTTGGTAAATTGTATGGGAGAACTGTCAAATGATGTGTGACACTAGATCTTCTTTCAGTTACACTTCTGAGTATGTTATTGATGAAATGTTCCCAAATTATATAAATTTATAAAAGTCTGTTATCATTCATAATTTTGATTATGTTAAATCTTTTCTAAAGTCATATTTGAATAGATATTAATTTGAATATCCTAAAGATTATATAACATTTGTAAAAATCTAATAGTTTTAATGTGACACTGTCAGTCATGATTCTGGTTGTTATCTTAGAATGCTGCACATATTCAAAACATCTACATTTTTTATCAATTGGAAACTTCTATCAGATTTTAACCACGGCTGTTCTAAGTTTTTGACATCAACAGTTATTGTTCTAAATTTTTCTTTATAAGCATTTGAAGTCAACTATGATCCAAAATTGCTATCGTTATGGAAAAGACTCTGACAAATACTATTGAATATAGGTTTCTGATAACTTTGGAGATCATGTAATTAGGTGAAATAAAAACGTCCAGAACTCTAATGAAAAACTGATGTCTTCATGAAGATTGCTAACCCAACACCAGCCGAATAAGAATTACGTGAGATGAAATCAATGGAGGACTAACGTGACTTTTATGACTTTCTGTTTGAAACATTCAAAGTCAAGAAAACTTCCCTTTCTTTTAAGTCATTTTTATCTGACAGCAATTAAGGAAAGTATACTTTTGTGAGCCAAACCAAAACAGTTGCATTTCTCTCTCTACATGAATTCTCCATAATTTGGGAACTATTCGTAAACATTCTTATTTTATGGCAATAGTTACATGCATAAGTTTAATAATAATTTTTTTTTTGTAACAGGACAGATTGGAAACACTGATTATTTTTACCAAGGCTTTGACTAGAGTGGAAACACTGATTATTTTTACCAAGGCTTTGACTAGAGTGTCATATATTTAAATATGACAAGATTGTTTTGAGGGATTGAAATTGGCATTGTAGAGCCAATAGACTTGAAAGAAGGCTGACCTGGTACTTCGTCTACACAGTTCCCTTGTAGGGTTTTGACCTCGTGGCAAATCATGTCCCTTCCTGACAGGCCCAGAAATCTCAAGGTGTTTGGGGGACTTCAAGAAGGGAGGAATTTATCCAATTTTTACAAGTAGTACAGGCGTAATCTGATAATGAATCCTTGGCTTGGCTTTCTAGCCTAAAGAAGCTTTTAAAAGCATAATCTAAAATGTCTTATGAAAAAGTTCCAGCAAAACCAACTTAAAAGAAGCCTATATGGACAATTGCTATTCCTGTTGCATTTTGTACAAATAATCAGGTCAAGTACCATAAGGCTAAAACTTATATTGCAAATGAAATTGGCCTATGATTTTTCTTTGGCAGAAAAGGGAGATCAAAGAGAGAAAAATTATTTTTCAGAAGAAAATTATAGCATACCTGTTATTAGATTCTAGCCCTGACCATTGTTTTTGAGTTTCAAAAAAATTATTATTTGCTTGAAATTTGGACTGAATTATTTCCTGGCTATAATAAGTCCCTAAAGGGGAACTTGGATTTAATTTTCTTTCTTAGTTGGTTCCCTAATGGAATAGGTTCTTTTTCCCCCATTCTTGCATAAAAATTCTCTTTTTGATTGTAATTTTTGTGTGAGAAATTGTATTTCTCCTATTCAAATTATTAATGCTATGTATCTTTCATTGTTTTACTTCTTCCAAGAAAAGTCAAATTATGAAATTCTGAAAACTAGAGGAGATGATTTAACAAGCAACAGCAACTATAAATCGATGACTTGTTCATTTGGTTACCCTTAGGACTAATTTCCTTATTCTATTATGTTTTTCAAGTTGTTATGATTATAATATTAGGTTGGTGCAAAAAAGTAATTGCGGTTTTCACCATCAGAAGTAATGGTGAAAACCACAATTACTTTTTTGTGCCAAACTAATAATAAACATAGTGTAATTTTTTTTGGCTATTAAGTTACTCATGATTTACATTTCTGCTTGCTTTAGATCAATGGCTAAGGCCAAAATAATGATTTCCTAGTGAGATGACTTATCATTCAGGAGAATAGCATGTAATCTTGTGTCATGACTCCATGGTGTTAGCAAACTGGCCTGCCTGCAAATCATAAGGTTTTGGGGACATGACTTCCTGGAATAAGCCTTCCCATTGATAAGGAATGAAGAACATCTATCTCCCTAACCTAGCAGATTGATCAATGATGCTTCCATGGGGAGAATTTTTTTTTTTTTTATCAAAAGGGAAATGTGATAACTATGGAATACATTTGGCAGTTTAGTTTAAAAGTAAACAGGCTTTCAAAGTAACCCACTTTGGGAAGGTCTTGTGATTCATGATGAAATCCTGTCCCTGAATCTTATCATGAGTCTCTTAAATTGTTGACACAGTGATTAATGCATAACCCAGTAACCCTGAAAAGGACACTGATATATTTCTGAATCTTAGAGGTTTACTGATTGTCCTGCATGGACACATTTGAGCCTGTGTGTTGCAATCTGTATCCAATAATTGTAACTTCTGTATTCTACCCTTCAATGAGAAGGGACAGCTTTGGTGTGAGGAGTCCCTCTTTTTTCCTGAACTTTTCTATAAAACAGGGTTCCCCAACTCCTGGGCTGTGAATCCATACCAATCCATGGCCTGTTAGGAACTGGGCCACACAGCAGAAGGGGAGTGGTGGGCAAGCCAGTGAAGCTTCATCTGTATTTATAGTGCTCCCCATTGCTAGCATTACCGCCTGAGCACTGCCTCGTGTCAGATCAGTAGCAGCATTAGATTCTTACAGGAATGCAAACATGTAAACTGTGCATGGGAGGGATCTGTGTACTTCTTATGAGAATCTATTGCCTGATGATCTGTCCCTGTCTTCCATCACCCATAGGTAGGACCTTTTAGTTGCAGAAAAACAAGCTCAGGGCTCCCACTGACTCTACTTGATGGTGAGTTGTGTAATTATTTCATTCTTTCATCATGTGTTACAATGTTATAATAATAGAAATAAAGTGCAGGATAAATTTAATGTGCTTAAAACATCCTGAAACCATCCTACCCCTGACCCCACCCTGGTCCATGGAAAACCTGTCTTCTACAAACTTGGTCCCTGGTGTCAAAAAGTTTGGGGACCTCTGCTCTAAAAGCATTTCAACTTGTAACAGACTCCAAACACTCCCAACTTCATTGGTGTATTTTATTGAGTCACTCCTCACATTTGGCTTTCAATAAATCATTATCAAATTATTTCTTCCCGGCCAGCACTGTGGCTCATGCCTGTAATCCTAGCACTTTGGGAGGCTGAGGTAGGAGGTTCACTTAAGCCCAGCAGATTGAGGCTGGTGTGACCTGTGATTGGATTACAGCCTGGGTGACACAGCAAGATACTGTCTCAAAAAAATTGTTTATTCCTAAACAGCCTTAATTTTGATTGATACAGGAGCCTGTGGAATGAGAAGCTTTGTACATCATTGAGCACCAGTCAAGAAGTGAGAGTAAACATGCCTCATCATTTGTCAGATGGTGATGGTTTTTGTCCTAACCAGCTCAGCACACTGAGCCTAAACCTCCCTCCAGACTAGCAATAGGGGCTTCACAAGAGACTCACTTTTCCTGTGTGTGTGTTCCTCTGCAGGATTAAAGACAGAGTCCATACCTTGAACTCAACAGCTTGGCTCAGTCTGTTCCTTCTGGCTGTCAAAGCTCTGCCTGCACCTTGGAGTAGATATTTGGGATTTTTCCTTTCCATCCACACCACCTACTTGAAAATGCTTTTATTATCTGACATTTGATCATTCTCCCTAATCAGCAGGCCAGCCCTGCCCATTACTTGTCTCTGGAGACCTCAGTGATCTAGAGCTCAGCCTCCCATACTCACTTTCCATGGGAAATGAGGAAATTAGAAGATTTCTATTGAAACACAAGGATGCTTTTGCACTGAGACACCCAATCCCAGACCCATTTACCTGGCTTGTATCTGGTGATGCATCTGGTATTCTTTGCTCATCACACACAGCAACACACTCCAACTGAGACTGAGCACGCTTTGGGGAAAGACAGTCATGACATAGTATGCCTGGAGAAATGCCTGAACTATTTTGGGGTCATAGTTGGAAATTTATACTTACATAAGGGTCAACTAACGTATTGTTGTGAGGCTTCAGTATGCTCTGCTGAAAAAAACAGAAAGATTGGCTTACAATATTGAGTGTGATTTTTCATTAACTCCACATTTGAGCAGACTTTTATTTATTTATTTATTTTGAGACAGAGTTTCACTCTTGTTACCCAGGCTGGAGTGCAATGGCGCGATCTCGGCTCACCGCAACATTTACCTCCTGAGTTCAAGCAATTCTCCTGTCTCAGCCTCCCGAGTAGCTGAGACTACAGGCACACGCCACCATGCCCAGCTAATTTTTGTATTTTTAGTAGAGACGAGGTTTCACCACATTGACCAGTATGGTCTTGATCTCTTGACCTCGTGATCCACCTGCCTCGGCCTCCCAAAGTGCTGGGATTATAGGCGTGAGCCACCGCGCCTGGCCTATTTTAAGGGATTCATGCCACAACCCTTCTTTTGTTTCATGTCTGCTTTTATGGGCCTGTACATCTAGCTGGAGAATAAAAAAGCACTAAATTATGTGTCTGTGACAGTTTGGCCCAATGCAAGTGCCATTTCCTGTCTCTCACACCCAAGGCAGGCCATTGTGAAGCCATTCAGGGAGGAGCAACTCTATTGGTCCTCCTACTTCAAGTGGCCAACAGGCATGTTTGTCTAAATTTTGAAGTGTCATTCCATCCAGAGAAGCTGCAAAGGGAATCTGCTGACTCTTCCTCCACAATCCCCAGTGATCACGGGGCCCAGAGTCCTGGAGGCACATCCGAGGCACAATGATAGAAAGGTAGCCATATTACCACGTGCCGGAAGCAATGTTTATTTTTCCAATACCAGCCCTATCTTTTTTTTTTTTTTTATTTAAAGAATGGCACCAGGCATGATGGCTCATGCTTGTAATCACAACCCTTTGGGAGGCTGCGGTGGGCAGGTGTCCCAGAGAACTCCATCACTTTCTGCAGCTCTCCAGAAAGCTACATCCCTAAAGATAAAATGCCTCCAAGGTCCCCAGTGCTGTGGCTCTTCTCCTAAAGGTAAGCATCTCTCCACTTTCTCCTGAATCTTGAGAGTTTGCTTTGACCTTGGGTATCTGTGGAATGACTTGGCCTTCTTCCAGTCTGGAACAATGACTGCTTCAGCTTTTGTTGGTAGCCCAGGGCAGAGAGGCCTTAGACAAACAACTAAGTGTGATCCAAGGCACAATGATAGAAAGGTAGCCATATTACCACCTGCAGGAAGCAATCTGGGCCTCTTGGCTAAGATAAAGTATAGTATATTAGTGGCTAGAATCTCTCCCTCCGACCCATTGCTTATCACCCAGGCAAGACAATGAGGCTGACAGAATCCTTAAGGTTCATCCTTTTGGCCTCCTTTGTTTTGCATTATTTCATTGGCCAAGCCCATCACCTGGAGCTTTGCAGTGGCTCCACAGTTGTTTGTTGAATGGATAAATAAGTGCATGAACAAATGAACACAATTGTCACTTGGGAGAAGAGGTTTCTTAGTAGCCAGTAAGTGATTAGCTTGAAATTTTATCTTATAATCCTGGAGTATCTCAGCTATGCCCAGCAGGTTTAACAAAAATCTTACAAGCAGGGAAGCTGGCAACAGTAGCACTTCCCATGCAGTGCTGAGAGTGACACAAGGGTTAGAAACCAAGGGGAGAGGGAAGGCAGACCCTCTGGAGAGAGCCTCTGAGAACTGAGGCAATTGCACCACAGCACCTAAGAGTCGTGGGCCCTCAGGGAGTGGAGAGAGGGCAACTGTGATGAAGGGATGGGAGATGGTCAGCTCAATGGACTAGCCAAAGCTGTATCACCCTGGACTGTCTGGCACTGGGTAGACATGTTTGGTTTTAATAATTATATCAAATAATGTCTCTCTCCAGAAATCCAGTGGTTGCAGAGCCTTGTCACCGAGTCTCCGGTCACAAAGCCAGTGGAGCAGGTAGCCCCAGGAGCCAGCTCTGTAAAGATTGTGAATTCCTGGTATGGCAGAAATATCCAAGGTCACCTATGTCAGAGCTTAGGAAAATGGAAGTTCTTCCATCTCCTTCATTCACCAAGTTCTTTCTTATACCTAGCCTTGGAGAGGCCATGGAAGGTATCAGTGATCTCACCATTTTTCCATAGAATACACATAGCATGAAGAATTTTGGTCTGTGAACTCCACAAACTACTTCCATGGTGGGAGAATTCACCTTCACAGATGGAAGTGAAGTCTGTGCAGTCCCTTTGCTGGGGCCAAAGGGCCTCTCCACAAAGGAAAAGATTTTAGAGGTCAGCAGCCTCACAGGACACTCTGGCTCCCACTTAAAAATTTTCCCACCCATCAATGATAGACTGGCTAAAGAAAATGTGGCACATATACACCATGGAATACTACGCAGCCATAAAAAACGATGAGTTTGTGTCCTTTGTAGGGACATGGATGAATCTGGAAACCATCATTCTCAGCAAACTGACACAAGAACAGAAAACCAAACATCACATGTTCTCACTCATAGGCAGGTGTTGAACAATGAGAACATATGGACACAGGGAGAGGAATATCACACACAGGGGTATGTTGTGGGGTGGAGGACTAGGGGAGGGACAGCAGGGGGGTGGGGAGGTTGGGGAGGGATAACACTGGGAGAAATGCCTGATGTAGGTGACGAGGGGATGGAGACAGCAAACCACCATGGCATGTGTGTACCTATGCAACAATCCTGCAGGATCTGCACATGTACCCCAGAACTTAAAGTACACACACACAAAAAATGATAATGTCTGAGCTAGAAAATAAGGTTTGCATTCAGGTTAAGTGTCTTTCATTTAAATGTAATAGAGTTTTTCCTTTAAATTCAATACATTATTTTAACTTTCAAAAAAGGTTTTTTCCCTTGCGGAACTCTGTGTGTGTGTGTGTGTGTGTGTGTGTGTGTGTGTGTGTGTGTGTGTGTGTTAAATGTAAATGAAAAGGAGAGAATTTTTTTTGTTGTTTGCTTCCCTGTGTGACTTTTGGCTATACACACATTTTAGGGGAAATTCTTCATTAGGTCATCTGTAGTGACCATCGGATGTTTCTTGGGGAACTTTTGCTTTGTACTTATTTCTTAAGTATAGAATCCAGAAAAAACAATGAAAAACAACCAGTGTTTATGTTGAGGTTGCAAAGGCAGTAGATGCTAAATGCATTGTTTTGTGCATCTCAAACTCATGCTTATTTTTCCAACGCCAGCCATATATATATATATGAATGGCACCAGGCATGATGGCTCACGCTTGTAATCACAGCCCTTTGGAAGGCTGCGGTGAGCAGATCACTTGAGGTCAGGAGTTTGAGACAAGCCTGGCCAACATGGTGAAGCCCCATCTCTACTAAAAACACAAAAAAATAGACAGGTGTCATGCCATACACGTGTCCCAGCTACTTGGAAGGCTGAGGCACAAGAATCGTTTGAACCAGGCAGGTGAGGGTTGCAGTGAGCCGAGATCTTACTACTGCACTCCTGCCTGGGCGACAGAGCAAGACCATCTGTAAAAAGCAGCATGGCCTAGCGCAGTAGCTTATCCCTATAATCCCAGCACTTTGAGAGGCTGAGGTGGGCGAATCATGAGGTTAAGAGATTGAGACCATCCTGGCCAACATGGTGAAACCTCATCTCTGCTAAAAATATAAAAATTAGTTGGGCATGGTGGTGTGTGCCTATAGTTCCAGCTACTTGGGAGGCTGAGGCAGGGGAATTGCTTGAACCCAGGAGGTGGAGGTTGCAGTGAGCTGAAATCATGCCACTGCACTCCAGCCTGGTGACAGAGCAATACGCTGTATCTTAAAAAAAAAAATTATGACACACAGCTCTTTTGCTAAAAAACACATATGATTCATTTCTGTCTTTTAATCTATTTCTGAGGATTCTTTCTATCTCTATCTCAAATGTTTTGATGCTCAAAGGAGCCCTGGACTTATACATTGAATAACGTTGGAAAGCAGCAATCGCAAAAGGCTCATATTGTAAAATCAAATTTTATGATGATGGATCAATTTAAAGACAGTAAGGCGACAGAGACAGAAAATCAACAACATAATAGATGAGACATTGGCAGAAGGTCACTTGATCACCTTTTTTCTTGTGGTTGGTGGTTCTGGCAGACGTTGTTTCTGGAAAAGAAAAGGTATGAGTGATTTGATGGGTTTTCGCTTTTATTTTGTGAGCTTAGTGTTTCTGACTGCATTCTAAATATTCCTACCTGGATGTCACACTATTAACTCCAATTCAAGGCGTTTTCATGGACATTAGTTTCCATGATCCTCCAGGGATTAAAGGAAGCATGTCGATGCTTTCCTCTGCCCTTATGACTTCTACAATCAGTCCAGAGAAGGTAGCCACCTCATTTCCCCCAGCTTCTTGACACACTGTGGAGCGGATTTGCATGCTGTCCTTTCTATGTATACAGAACGTCCCATTCTACAGTTTTGCTAGTTGTTCATCTTTTTAGACCTAGCTCAGTGCAGAAGTTCCACAAAATGATCCTCCACCTCAAAGCTAGAAATGACCTTCCCTTCTTTGAACTACTGCACCTCTTCCAATGTCTCTTGTGAGAATATTGACACTCTGTCCGGGCCTGCAGTTATGAAAGCACAGCCTTCCTTCTGGGTGGGGGCTCACACTTTGTATACTCTCCATAGCTTTAGATGTGGTTCAATAAATATTTGTTGATCAAAGATCTTTTACTTTGTATATTACTTATTCATTTGTTTTTAGAGATGGGGTCTTGCTATGTTGCTCAGGCTGGAGTGCAGTGCAGTGCCTATTCACACGTACAATCCTCTTACTGATCAGCAGGAAAGTACTGACCTGCTCCGTTTCTAACCTGGGCTCATTCACCTCTCCTTAGGCACTCTGGTGGTCTCCTATGTTGATGCTGAACTTGGCGTGGACACCTAATTGGCATAGCACACTACAGCTCAGAACTTCTGGGCTCAAGTGAGTCCCCTGCCTCTGCTTCCTGAGTAGCTGGGACTACAGACATGCACCACTGTGCCTGGTTGATCTCTTTTTTAATTGTTAGAGTGACACAAGGAAGGACAGTCTGCGGGTGTGCAACAGAAAGCACTGTGTTTGGAGTCGAAAGACACAGGTATTTTTGTAACATCAGGGGGTTGACATGAGAAGCAATGAAGTTACTTTAAACTGAAATTTATTTACATTCTCTTACGAGAATAAATCTGAGATGGCCTATCCACAGAAATCTTGTTGAAATATTTTATAATCCCAAAACTACATACATATGTATATGTAGTTTCTGGATATATATATGTGTGTGTGCATTTAACATTTACCCCTTTCCCCCAAATTTAAGACTTCCCCTCCAGTTTAAGTTACTTTCATGTGACCAAATTGCACAGTTTATTAGTGGCAGAGTCAAGTCCACAATTTACTGCCTGACCTTCAAAAGGATGAGAAATAAAGTACTTAGAGGATTAAGCTGTAATATAAGCCAGCCAAGGTAATGCTCAGGTAAGAATGTTAGTAATAACGTATGCATTGAGACCTGGGCAGAGGCAGTCATGACGAGTTTCTGGACACTGAGAAATTCTGCTAAAGCCTGGTGTTAGTGAAGCATGACAGCTAAATCCTTGATTTCAGCCATTTGTCACTAGAATACCTCCATCAGGGATTTCAGGGTGTATCCACCACAGCGTATGCTTAGCTTCCAATTCTTGAACGCTAAAGATGTTTGTAGGGGAACTTTTACTTTGTATTTATTTCTTAAATATAGAATCTAGAAAAAACAATGAAAAACAACTAGTGTTTATGTTGAGGTTGCAAAGGCAGTAGATGCTAAATGCATTGCTTTGTGCATCTCAAACTCATGCTTATTTTTCCAACGCCAGCCTTATCTTTTTATTTTATTTTATTTTATTTTTAAAGAATGGCACCAGGCATGATGGCTCATGCTTGTAATCACAGTCCTTTGGGAGGCTGCGGTGGGCAGATCACTTAAGGTCAGGAGTTTGAGACAAGCCCGGCCAACATGGTGAAACCCCATCTCTACTAAAAATACAAAAAAATAGACAGGTGTCATCCCATACACCTGTCCCAGCTACTGGGAAGGCTGAGGCACAAGAATCATTTGAACCGGGGAGGTGAGGGTTGCAGTGAGCTGAGATCTCACTACTGCACTCCAGCCTGAGCAACAGAGCACGACCCTCTGTAAAAAGAAGCATGGCCCAGCGCAGTAGCTTATGCCTGTAATCCCAGCACTTTGAGAGGCTGAGGTGGGCGAATCATGGGGTTAAGAGATTGAGACCATCCTGGCCAACATGGTGAAACTTCATCTCTGCTAAAAATATAAAAATTAGTTGGGCATGGTGGTGTGTGCCTATAGTTCCAGCTACTCGGGAGGCTGAGGCAGGGGAATTGCTTGAACCCAGGAGGTGGAGGCTGCAGTGAGCTGAAATCATGCTACTGCACTCCAGCCTGGTGACAGAGCAATACGCCGTATCTTAAAAAAAAAAAAAAAAAAAAAAATTATGACACACAGCTCTTGGCTAAAAAACACATATGATTCAGTTCTATCTTTTAATCTATTTGAGGATTGTTTCTATCTTTATCTCAAATATTTTGATGCTCAAAGGAGCCCTGGACTTATACATTGAATAATGTTGGAAAGCAGCAATAGCAAAGGGCTCATATTGTAAAATCAAATTTTATGATGGTGGGTCAGTTTAAAGACAGTAAGGCGACAGAGATAAAAAATCAACAACATAATAGATGAGACATTGGCAGAAGGTCACTTGATCACCTTTTTTCTTGTGGTTGGTGGTACTGGCAGATGTCGTTTCTGGAAAAGAAAAGGTATGAGTGATTTGATGGATTTTCGCTTTTATTTTGTGAGCTTAGTGTTTCTGACTGCATTCTAAATATTCCTACCTGGATGTCACACTATTAACTCCAATTCAAGGCGTTTTCATGGACATTAGTTTCCATGATTCTCCAGGGATTAAAGGAAGCATGTCGATGCTTTCCTCTGCCCTTATGACTTCTACAATCAGTCCAGAGAAGGTAGCCACCTCATTTCCCCCAGCTTCTTGACACACTGTGGAGCGGATTTGCATGCTGTCCTTTCTATGTATACAGAACGTCCCATTCTACAGTTTTGCTAGTTGTTCATCTTTTTAGACCTAGCTCAGTGCAGAAGTTCCACAAAATGATCCTCCACCTCAAAGCTAGAAATGACCTTCCCTTCTTTGAACTACTGCACCTCTTCCAATGTCTCTTGTGAGAATATTGACACTCTGTCCGGGCCTGCAGTTATGAAAGCACAGCCTTCCTTCTGGGTGGGGGCTCACACTTTGTATACTCTCCATAGCTTTAGATGTGGTTCAATAAATATTTGTTGATCAAAGATCTTTTACTTTGTATATTACTTATTCATTTGTTTTTAGAGATGGGGTCTTGCTATGTTGCTCAGGCTGGAGTGCAGTGCAGTGCCTATTCACACGTACAATCCTCTTACTGATCAGCAGGAAAGTACTGACCTGCTCCGTTTCTAACCTGGGCTCATTCACCTCTCCTTAGGCACTCTGGTGGTCTCCTATGTTGATGCTGAACTTGGCGTGGACACCTAATTGGCATAGCACACTACAGCTCAGAACTTCTGGGCTCAAGTGAGTCCCCTGCCTCTGCTTCCTGAGTAGCTGGGACTACAGACATGCACCACTGTGCCTGGTTGATCTCTTTTTTAATTGTTAGAGTGACACAAGGAAGGACAGTCTGCGGGTGTGCAACAGAAAGCACTGTGTTTGGAGTCGAAAGACACAGGTATTTTTGTAACATCAGGGGGTTGACATGAGAAGCAATGAAGTTACTTTAAACTGAAATTTATTTACATTCTCTTACGAGAATAAATCTGAGATGGCCTATCCACAGAAATCTTGTTGAAATATTTTATAATCCAAAACTACATACATATGTATATGTAGTTCCTGGATATATATATGTGTGTATATGTGTGTGTGCATTTAACATTTACCCCTTTCCCCCAAATTTAAGACTTCCCCTCCAGTTTACGTTACTTTCCTGTGACCAAATTCCACAGTTTATTAGTGTCTGACCTTCAAAAGGATGAGAAATAAAGTACTTAGAGGATTAAGCTGTAATATAAGCCAGCCAAGGTAATGCTTAGGTGAGAATGTTAGTAATAACGTATGCATCGAGACCTGGGCAGAGGCAGTCATGACGAGTTTCTGGACACTGAGAAATTCTGCTAAAGCCTGGTGTTAGTGAAGCATGACAGCTAAATCCTTGATTTCAGCCATTTGTCACTAGAATACCTCCATCAGGGATTTCAGGGTGTATCCGCCACAGCGTATGCTTAGCTTCCAATTCTTGGATGCTCCTCGGCCTCCTTTCTTTTCAAATTCCCTGGGAGTTAACCACTTTTTATTCTCAATCTGTATACATTTCTTTGAGGTTCCTGTAAAACCAAGACAAGGTAAGCTCTCCAACTGTGAAAAGACCTGAACTTGACCTCCCCCCATGCTGGGATCTGGAGCCTCCCGCTTTGGGCTCAGGATCCTAGCAGTAGAGTCTGAATTTTCCACTCAGACATCAGGGGCTTCATACCCAGCCTGAAGAAACAGAGAAGAAGGTGACTCTGTCATGTGTGTATATTTCTTTGACCTTCATGCAATGAGAAGACGTATTACTACCAACATTTGCCTTTTCAAAGTATTTTGCTATATACCAAAGGTCGGGGGTGGATGGGGGGAGTGGCCCTAAATAATGAGCAGGATTCCTTCTCCTCCCTTCTCTGAGACTTGATGTAGAGTCAGCCTTAATTTTAGGGAGGTGGATGAAGGTACAAAGCCCTCTACCGTGCTCTTGGGTTCCCAGGGGGCCATGTGGAAGCCGTTACTATAGCCAAATCTGTCTTGTCTTATACCAGATTGTTCATTCAGTAAATGACAATCAATATGTTTCATATTTCAAACTCATGGTTATTTTATATTAAAGTAATTATGAAAATGTTATAGAGTGGGAGAAGTTAAATTACGCTTATGCAACATAGTCATGGGGCAAACATTTGTATTTGTTGGTGCTCAAAGAACTATATTGTGTGTGGGGGGTGTCAGTCACAACAGATGAACACTGGTCCTGTAATTATCAATTATAACTTGTGAAGTATTTTATGTCTGTTTTTTTCTCATGATAATATGGTGAAGCAAGTTATATTATTGTTCTGATTTTGTAGAGAAGGAAGTCCAAGTTTAGAGAGACCGCGTACCTGGCTGTAGATGAATCAGACACTCTTGGTATAGCTGAAACTTGATTGCAGGTCTTCTAATTCTAAACTCTGTTATCTTCCCATTTAGCAGAAGGCTTTACAGATGTTATGGGAAATGGGGCTGTGAAAGTTAATGCTGTGATTCTCAGGTGTGTACATTTTCCACACAAGTAATGAGGTGCTTGCCCTTGTATTGGGTGCTAGTTGGATGTCTTGTGGGCCTTTCACATGAGGGAAAGGAAAAATGGCCTCATAGGCTAATGTTTTATGAATTTTAAAAGTGTAAAAATACCATCGTTGTACAAAAAAGAGTTAACATAGTGGGCCTGAGACTATCCTTAGAGAGCCTATATGCAAGATTGGCCATTGTCTATGTGCAAGGCTGGCCATTGGCATTTGGGAATTTGGATTTTAGAAGAGTTCTACCATTCCCAGATCTCACTGTGGGCGAACAAACAACATCAATAAACATATTGTTCATCCGTAAAGATAAAGCCCTTTAAAGATAAATCCCTCTTATTTATGGTTATAAATAAATGCAATTTATTTATATTCTCTTACAAGAATGAATTTGAGGTAGCCTATCCAAAGAAATCTTGTTGGAATGTTCTGTAACCCTGGAACTACCTATCCTGATGCATTATATTCAGACATATGTAAATAAATTGCATTTATCTATAACCATAAATGAAGAAGAGGGCTCACTGTACCTAAATTGTTTGCACAAACAATACGGTTTATGCTGAACACTTGCTTTCCTTCTGGGAATCTGGAATTTTGGTATGTGCCAGGCAGAGGGTGCCTATGTGACTAACCCCTGGTAAAAACCCTGGACTCCTAAACTCAGGCTGGCTTCCCTGGTAGACAACATTTTACACACGTTGTCACATCTTGTTGCTGCAAGCATTAAGTGAGTCTTGCATGACCGCTGGGAGAGGATTCCTGGAAGCTTGCTTTTGTTGTCTCTGATCTTCACCCCATGTGCCTTTTCCCTTTGCCATTTTTGCATGCTTCACTCATAAACTCTAGCTGCAAATGTGATGATGTCCCAAGTCCTAGGAGAGCTCCTAGCAAATCACCAAGCCTGGGGCTAGTTTTGCAGAACCTCAAAGCAGGTGTCTATGCCTAAACAGTATGCTCTCAATGTGGATGTTTGCCAACTGAGACTGTAGATCACCAGCAAACTCACCTTGTTTGAATCGCTCCTTATGTAGAGTGCCCTTCAGCTCACCACAGGTCACAGGAAGTTCAGGTTGTTCAAAATCAATATTTTTATCTCTGGGAATTCTTGGAGCTGCAAGGAAGCATTGTTTGTTTTCCATTCCATCTTCTTTCACAACTGTGCATTGTCCCCCCAGCCTGTCTTGAGAACTTTCTTTTATAATGTAAAATGTATTGAAGGGATTTCCCCCATGAATCAGTTACATTTCAGAGTCTTTCTTTTATGGCACATTAGATAGCTACAGACACTGTCCTCCTCCACTCCACCCTCTAAAATCCCACACAACAGCCTGGTGTGTGGTAGGATCTCATCTTTAAAGCTGGTTGGTCACATCCACCTATCACACAGTGATTTTCCTCCAGATGTTTCAAAGGGAGATTTCCACTCATATCATTGCTTTGATGTTATGTTTTTTTTTTTTTTTTAAAAAAAACCCTCAACTTTTAGTCTCATCTCCCCATTCCAGGCATTGACTGAGGGGACGGAGGGAAGGATGGCAATGTGGCCTCTAATGGAGCCCCTTTCGGGGTGGCGTCTGTCTCCCTCTTTGCCAACTGCTTTGCTTCACCTCCCTTTCACTTGAGCTTTCTCTGTGGCTAAAAGGGAAGCTTGGTGTGAGGGATTCTAGAAGAAATTGCACATTGAGAGAGGAGAAATGACTAGAGATTGATGAAGGGTTCGAATACACAGTTAGATAGAAGAAATAAGACCTGGTATTTTCAATAGATCAATAGGGTGATTATAATTAACAACAATTGATTGTACATTTCAAAATAGCTGAAACAGAATGATCTGAATGTTCCTGGCATCAAAAAAGATACATATTTAAAGTGATGGATATCCCAATAACTCTATTTGATTATATGAAAGTATCAAATTATTACACATACCCCCAAATATTTCTATCTTATTATGTATTAATCAATCAATCAATCAATCAATAAAAAAGAAAGTGAGCATTGCTCAGGGAACCCTGCAAGGGCATATGACTGGGGCATTGGGGATCTGGCTACACTGAAGCCACTGGTTTCACTGAAGGTCTTAAAATGAACTTCTGGTCAATGTCAAGGCTTAGCACTAGCTCCATATGCCAATTAAGAAAACTGACCTATTACTCACAGTATAGAGTGTTAAATATTAAATGTTTAATTATGAAAAGCATATCAATTACTTCTTTTTACCTCTTCTTCTTCTTCTTTTCAAAGGTGTAGTGTTGGTTTTTCTTCCTAAGAAAGTTGAAAAACAACCTAAGTGTCTCTGCATTGCAAAGAGTAGCGTTTTACAAAATCACCATTCAAATGCAACTTTTCAGGATCCTGTCTAGAACTTAAAGAAAAATATCAAATGCCTAGATCAGGAGTCAGGAAGTTTTTTTTTGTAAGGAGACAGATAGTAAGTAGTTAAGATTTTTTGGTTCATAACTTCTGTTGTGACTACTCAGCTCTACAGCTGTATATGAATGCATCAATAGACAATGTATAAATCAAAGGATGTGACTGTGGCTGTGTTCCAGTTAAACTTTATTTACAGTCAGCAGGATGGATTTGCCCCGTAGGTCTTAGGTTGCTGACCCCGATCTAGACTTAGTTACAACCATGATGTGTAACTATATTTCTCTAAGATGCAGCCTATATAACTAACTGCATCTTTGAGATGCAGCCTATATTTCTCTATCAATATCTCCAAATCAATCCAAACGAATTTGAAACAGTATTTTACCTGCTTTCCAAGCAACAGGAGAGCAAGAATGAAATTGAACATGTATTCAGTGTTTGTTGCATGCCAGGAGCTATCCTTAAATCTTTACCGCTATTAACCTACTTCATCTTTAGAACAAAATCTATTAAATAGGCACTGGTACCACCCTCACTTTACAGATGAGAAAATGATGAGGAAATTGATGTTCAGAGATAAAAATATAAATTAAAGTGTTTACAATTTTCTTTGGGAAAGAGACAGAGATAAAAATCAGCAAAATACGGTCTCAGGACATAGCTCATGGTAGACTCTACCAGTCAGATACGTAAACTTGGAAGGTTTTGTACTGAAAATGGTGAGGAAAATGACCAAGGACTTAAAAACTAATCCAATGAAGGCTATTCAAGAGGAATTTGTAGAAATTAAGACACAAGGCCTAAGAGTTGTATAGCTAAAGATAGCACAAAGGGTTGACTTAAAAGGTATCTCAGGACTGGCTGTGGTAGCTCGCGCCTGTAATCCCAGCACTTTGGGAGGCTGAGGCAGGTGGCATACCTGAGGTCAGGAGTTCAAGACCAGCCGGGTCAACATGGTGAAACTCTGCCTCTACTAAAAAAAAAAAAAAAAAAAAAAAATAGCCAGGCATGGTGGTGCGTGCCTATAATCCTAGTTACTTGGGAGGCTGAGGTAGCAGAATCATTTAAAACTGGGAGGTGGAGGTTACAGTGAGCCAAGATATCACCACTGTATACCAGTCAGGGCAGCAGAGCAAGACTCCATCTCAAAAACAAAACAAAAACCTGGAAGCATGTATCTATGTGCTGATCGATGTGTTCAAACAAAGAGCCAGTCATTTCAGATGTGTGTTTAGATCTACATTGTTCAAATGTGTTTGCTGAAGTCAGGGACACAAATTGGATGCTCTTTCTTTCTAAAGGTCTGTGCCCATTATTCTGTGCCCACGGCTGGTATCATAGGGTGCCGATTTGGGTCCTGCAACTCCCAGGAGAAAACCTCCCCCAGAAACTCAATTGTGAATGCTCTTTCTTTTGAGTAAATTGTGACTAGATTAGGCTGGAAAGGCATTTTTCCTTCAATCTAGCATAAAGAAATGTTGAAATTGATGATAACGTATTTTCTGGGCCTCTGTCATAACAACTATTTAGAGATTTGCTTTTGGTTTTGTTTTGTTTTTTTTTTTTTTTACCTCATCAAGGTAAAAATGATACCATCATTTTTTTTACTGATAATTCACATGTCAAGAGGAATCATATCCCAAGAAAAAACATGCTCTACCTCACAAGATGTTGCCCTTAGGAAGTTTATTAAAATATTATGGAGCTACATGGAGAGGAGAGATTACTAAACTTGCGTAAAAGAATTATAAACTTGGCCATTGAACTAAAGAGTTTTTTTCTTTTTTGACCGAGTCTTGCCCTCTTCTCTGTTGCCCAGGCTGGAGTGCAGTGGCACGATCTCAGCTCACTGCAACCTCTGCCTCCTGGGCTCAATGTTCTCCTGCCTCAGCCTCCCAAGTAGCTGGGATCACCGGTGTGTACCATCATATTTGGCTAATTTTTGTATTTTTAGTAGAGATGGGGTTTTACCATGTTGCCCAGGCTGGTCTTGAATCCAAAGCTCAAGCGATCCACCTGCCTCAGCCACCCAAAGTGCTGGGATTACAGGTGTAAGCTACCTTACATGGCCTGAAATAAAGGTTTAAAAGAAACACGTAAAATATGGAAACATTGAGAACTCGAGGAAGTATATGAAGCTTTCTTACCACTACTTGCTTGTCTCTCAGAAAAAAGTTTCTCTAGCTCGATAATTTTCCAAGATCATGCTCAGGCCAGGTGTGGTAGATAATGCAGTAGCTACAGTAAAATGTCATCCATAGAGGGGTGGCTCTGGTGGGACTCTCCCTCCTGTCACTCATGATGCTCAAGTTGCAGGTGCACCCTGGAAAACTGGCCACTTCTAACTCCTCTCTCCTTCCCCCAACTCTCCCTCTTCCCCACAGTCCCATCAAATGACACCTGTGCTCTGTCTGCTTTCTTCTTTCCCACAGAGTGGTCAAACTGGAGATCCAGCTCTGGCCGTAACCTGGGTCTATTCAGCACTAGCCATTATTGGTCAATGTATGTTCTCTTGCTCTCAGTCTCTCTCTGTTTAAATCCTTCTTGGACTGCAGGGATTTCCTTTCAATCAAAACCTATTGAGGGCTTCAGGGCAAAACATCAGAAGCTGATTGCACTCCTTCCCAGTTCTTGGCATGAAGACACCTGGGCTGAGGAGCAGATCTTGTAATAAAACGCTGCAGAACTGTGCTTTCCAGTGGCTGCGTGTTCGCTGGCTCCAGCACCTCACTACAATTGTACATCCAGGCGGTCAAATGCTGGGACAAAGTAGGATTGAACAGTTCTTGGGCCTACCAGTCTTAATTCTACATTAACCATGTAAAATAATACGGTCAGAAAAAATTAAAAATTATTTATATATATATATATTTCATAGCAGGGACTAATCATTATTGGCAAAAGAGTTTATCACCATGTTTAGGTGATTCTTTAGTTATCTCAGAGTATTGCAGAAGCTCAACATCCAAGAATGCCACAATAGGAGTCCAGTACTCCTAAATCCTAAGGCAAGGTGCTAGTCTGTCTGCAAAGAACATGGTAGGGGATTGGGAGCCTGGTTCTGCCAGCATCAGCCTTCTCCACCTCTAGGCTGTAGTAGAGAGGCCACATTTCTCTGGAGAGAATTGTCAGACACTTTCTCTCCAGCCAAATGAGAAGGTCTAAAGACATCTAAGCAGGAGATGGACCTCTGTCCTCGGGAATGTCAGGGAAAGGGAGACTCTCAGACTCACCCCTGAGAAGCCTAAAGGTGAAGGTCATGGCTAGTGGGGTCAAGAGTGCCAGAGGGCTGAGCTGGGAGCCAGCAGGGGAATCAATGAAGAAGTACAATTCCCATGGCCTGGTGCAGACCCTGTGGATGCAGCTGGACTGGGGGTTTTTAAGAGATATTCTCACCAAGGGAACAGCAGTGGGGTGTGTATCTTCCAGAAGGACCATCCAGTGTCTTAATTCCCAAGCAGGTTGGCTACCACCAACCATGGAGAGGCAGTTGCATACACTGCTTCTGCCATTCTAGTGGGGGAATTCATAGCTAAAGGAAATATATATATATATATGTATATGTATTTATTTCACCATGTTAGGTGATTCTTTAGTTATCACAGAGTATTAGCAGAAGCCTCAACATCCAAGAATGCTACAATAGGAGCCCAGTACTCCTATATCCTAAGGCAAGATGCTTTCTCTCTGTCTCTTTCTCTCTGTTCATACATATATATATAAAATGCTCTTTCTTGCTCTCTCTATGTATATATAGTGTATATATATATACACACACACATATAAAGAAAGTATAATGTACATATATGCATATATAAAGAGTATGTATATATATATACACACATAGTGTATGTAATCTCTATATATGAGAATATAGAATATAATATATATTCTATATATATGTGTGTGTGTATATATATATATATACACTCTTTATACACACACATATATATGTAGAATGTGTTAACATTCTACATGTGTGTATGTGTGTGTGTGTGTGTTTGTGTGTGTGTATGGAGAGAGAGAGAGAGAGAGAGAGAGAGAGAGTACTCCTGCTAAACTGATAACTTTCAAGGCTGGAAATAGTTGTTGGCATAAAAGTAAAAACAAAACAAACAAAACCTATGTAATTAACAAGTGATGTAGCTGTCCCTCCTCTTGCCCATCACCATGGGGTAATTGTGTGGACTTGGGTCTGCCCCATGTAAATTATGGTTTCACTCAACTGTAAAGTGAAATTAAAGTCAGTTAGACTAGACTGACTGCCCTTCAAGGCCCATCCCAACCATATATATATATATATATATATATATATATATATATATATAGATTGAGAGAGAGAGAGAGAGAGAGAGAGAGAGAGAGAGAGAGAGAAAGAGAGAGAGATAGGGTGTCTACATGAGGTTTTGTGGCCAGAGAAAAAGTTTCACGTGTCAAAACTCTTTTATATGATAAATTTGTCTGTAAATTTGAGCAGGGTGGCAACAGGGCAGCCTGGCAGGAGATGGTGTCTATCTTCTCTGCTTGCCTCCTCCTCTTTCACAGCAGCTTTCTTCTGGCTGAAAGAGCAGCTCAGCAGAGTTCTAGAATCATCTGCAAATTGCACGAGGGGAAGCTTTACATTTCAGAGCCTTTATTTGGTGGAGGTGGGGACCGAAGAGCTGACTTAGTAGAAACAGGTATACTTGTCTTAAAATGAACTTGAGGATGCTGAGCTGCCATTCCAACCCTTCCAGCTAGTGACACTGGGGAAGAGACACATTCTACAAGGTTTCTGTGCTGATGATGCAGGAGAGGGGGCTGCCCATGGTTTTTACCAATTCCTGTAGGAGATCCATGGAATGAGAAATCACGTAGGAAGCTGGGATGGGCGTTGGAGGGCCGTCAGTCTCGTCTGACTTAATTTCACTTTACAAAACAGTAAACTGTAATTTACTTGGGGCTGACCCAAGTCCACACAATTACCACATGGTGATGGGCAAGAGGGGGGACAGCTACATCACTTGTGAATTACACAGGTTTTCTTTGTGTTGTTTTTATGCCAACAACTATTTCCAGCCTTGAAAGTTATTGGTTCAGCAGAGGGAGCACTCAAGCAGCTTCTGGGCCCTGGGGTCTGTTTGCAGACTCATCACCAAGCTATTTGTTTGTGGTGCTATCATCCTTTTTCCCTGACATATTTTGGAACTTGACTAAATCTGATATATTTCTCAACAGTAAGTACAGCTACATAAAGCAATTAGTTTCTTACTAAGAGCATGAGAATTTAGATGTTACTTATTTAAAGTGTATTTATTTATTTTTTTTTATTTTTTACCTTTTGGCTGCCGTCTTGTCTGTAGGACTTTGTTTTCCCAAGTTAAGTGTTTTCTCGGTCTGCCTCTTTTTCTCCCTGAGAAAATGGGAAAATATAAATACAGATGGTGTATAAAACTAACATTATATATAATAGTGCTTTCAAAAAAGTTATTTAGCTGTAACTTTTCCAGAACCTAACACACAGAAAAATATGTGACAGATAGACTTGCAATGACCATGCCTTTGATGGTTAACCTGGGTTCATCCTAGATTTTCTTTTCTTTACCGTGACATTAATCCAAATTTATTTGCCTCCCCCACATTGATTTTAAAAAGAATTTAAGACAGAGTTTCATTTATATCCCAAAGAATACTGTAACAATTATAATTATGAAGACTAACACCTAAGTGCTTATTATGTGCTGACACTAATATAAGATATTTACAGCTACTAATTCATTTATGAGATAGAGACTTCTACCCTATCACCAAGGAAGAAATTGCAGTATACAGAAATTGCGAAATGAAGGGAAGCATTGCAGATTTCCTCTGGTTGTGAAGCAGAAACCAATGGCAGCAATTCAAGAATTTGGATTGTCCAGCTTATTATGATGGTGAGACACCAGCCACCATCTTAGCCCTCAGTGAAGGCGTTGGCACTGAAAATACAGTGAAAATGACCAAAGATCTTGGTCACATAGCTTTGGCCAAAAAATTAGGATCTAAGAAACTAATCATGAGACTATTGTCCAAGGGGAATTTGTATAGAGATTCAAGTCCCAGAAAGCCTTATGGTTAGAAACCCTATCTTGGGAATATGCTCTCAGATTCAGCAGGTGATGGGGGGTAGGTAGAAAGACGTCAGGTATGTGCAGGAGCATCTCATTGATGCCATGTTTAAAGGTGCTGATCTCTCAGGCAAGGCCATAAAGTGCACCCTTCCCCTCCCCTCCCCTCCCCATTCTTCTTTCCTTCCTTCCTTCTTTCCTTCCTGCCTCCCTTCATCCTTCCCTCCCTCCGTCTTTCCCTCCCCACACCATCTCCTTGTCTTTGTCTTCTCTTCTCTTTCTATGGCCTGGCCACAATTTGAACTTGTCCAACCATAGACATCTTAGGCAAACAAAGACTCTTCTGTCCCTCTATGTCTTTCTCTGGTCCTGTTGTAGTCACCTTTTATCAAAGCCCATTGAAGACAAACAAATTAGAGGTATACAAGCAGTTTAGTTCAAGTTTACTTGAGATCTACTTACTAGATTTGGGCTTAAGATCTGCTAATACTGTAGAGCTCCTGGGACTGCCTTTGTAATTATTCTTTGCAAATTTTCTTGCTCGAATACCCCACAAGAAGTAGTGCGGCTATTCTTGGATTTCCTATCTAAATGCTACCATGTTCTTGCTACAGAAGTTGAGTAAAGTGCTCCACCCTCCTTAAGACAAGTGAGAAGACTTCAGCTTCAAGGTAACTGATCTGCACCTTCAGGAGTTTGAGGAAGGCAGAGACATTTGTAGACTCAATCCTAGAATGTCGAGAGGGTATGAAGAATCATAATTCCTATAGGACTCCCTGGGGAAAGAAGGAGCTCACTTAGTTCTTCTTGAGAGATATTCCATCTGGGAGAATCACCTGGATGGATGAGTTTATCCCAGCAGGAGCATAGTGTGGACCTCCCAGGGCTGGGAGATGGAGACTGAGGAAATTGGTAAGCAGTCAGTTGAAGTTCCTGAATTAGGGGAACTTCAGTTGAGAGGTTCTTTCTAAGTTGAGTGTCTCCGAACAACTCACAAATGAATATGCCTCATGGATCCACCATATCTAGGAGACACCAAAATCTATAAGGTTAGTGCAAAAGTAATTGTGGTTTTGGCTATTACTTTTTTTTTTAAAGGCAAAACTCACAATTACTTTTGCACTAACCTATGTAATATGAGGGCTATTTCTGCTCCTGATCACTTCCTTCTCCTCCTCCTCTTAGACCCAAATTAGCTGAAAGCAATAGATACTGAGTGGAGCTGGAGAGGAAGCATGGATGAAAGTAAATGCTGACTTCACCCAGCTTCCCTATCACATAGTTTCCAGTTTTAATATCAGCTCAGACTTTTTAATATTAAATGAGATGTTACTGCTGGCTGGGTGCGGTGGCTCATGCCTGTAATCCCAGCACTTTGGGAGGCCGAGGATCACTAGGTCAAGAGATCGAGACCATCTTGGTCAACACGGTGAAACCCCGTCTCTACTAAAAATACAAAAAATTAGCTGGGCACGGTGGCGTGTGCCTGTAATCCCAGCTACTCAGGAGGCTGAGGCAGGAGAATTGCCTGAACCCAGGAAGCGGAGGTTGCGGTCAGCCGAGATGGTGCCATTGCACTCCAGCCTGGGTAACAAGAGTGAAACTCTGTCTCAAAACAAACAAACAAACAAAAAACAAAAAAGAGATTGAGACCATCCTGGCCAACATGGTGAAACCCCGTTTCTACTAAAAATACAAAAATTAGCTGGGCGTGGTGGCACATGCCTGTAGTCCCACTTACTCGGGAGGCTGAGGCAGGAGAATTGCTTGAACCCGGGAGGTGGAGGTTGCAGTGAGCCAAGATTGCATCACTGCACTCCAGCCTGGTGCCTGGCAACAGAGCAAGACTGTCTCAAAAAAAAAAAAAAAAAAGAAGAAATATTACTGCTAAAAAGGACTAGCATAGCTCTAGGGCTCACCTAAGACTTCGTCCATGGACAAGAAAAGAACTATTTGAGAGAAAAGGTCTGAAAAGGAAGTAGGAGAAGGAAGGAATGTGATTTCTGCTTAGACTTAACAAATCCAACTATCCCTCATTTCCTAATCAGGGCTGGCATGTCTCTGCCCACATAGCTCTGTAATGCAGCTCAGCTTCCAGCTCCTGTTCTTGCCAAAGAGTCTCAGATGACAAAAAGGCTGGCTCTGAATCAATGGAGAGTCTGAGTTTTCCTCCTTATTTGAGAGAATCAGTGACTTTGGAGGCAAATATGAAGGGCAAGTAGGCAGATTGCTATTTGTCACCCATAGTCATTCTTTCTTCCATAAGAATAGACTTACAGCTGAACCCAGGACGGCCTGGTCAGCCTGACATTTTTCAGCCTCACTTTACCGCTAGCTCTGGCCATGTGACCAAGTTTTGGCCAATGGGATGCGGGCAGAAGACTTCTGAGTCTTTCTATTAAAATAAATAAATGGCTGGTTCTTCTGTCAATTTTTTTTTTCATTCCCACTGGTTGGGAGACAATGTCAATCAGACCAGCCTCTGTGGACCCACAGTTGGAAACCTTATGTGAAGGAAGGCAGACTTCTGGCCTTTTAGATTATTTGGTTTAAGCCACTGCATTTTGGGATCTGTTTGTTACAATGACTTAGCTGCTACTCTGAATAATCCATTAGGTCTGAAGCCATCATAAACCATAGGAGATTTTGAGACTGCAGCAAAGATCGGGTGGGTCTGGCAGAAAGAACAGGACCACAGTGAGTTCAAAAGAGTAAATCCCCACATTTCTTCTTACCTTTTTGGAGACTGTTTGCTTTAAACATGTGTCTTCTCTTTTTTCCTGAAAACAGAAAAGAAAAAAAATAATTCTTTAGAACTGTAAACAAAGATTTATACACTTTATATGTCAATAGTTATCAAGTATTTAATTTTATTTTCTTTCCACTTTTGTGGGACTAAGTCCTTGGCTACCAACATCCCATCTTGGTAGTTGTCACCCAGAAACCAGTGACCACAAAGGAACCTGTTTTTACACAGTGCTAGTCATTTACACTATGCTTGTGCATATTCATATGTGGTCTTATCAGTCACAATAAAGAAACTTTTTTTTTAACCAGTTGTTTTAGACCAGTATTTTTTTTTTTTAGACCTGTCATCCAGGCTGGAGTGCAGTGGTGTAATCTCAGCTCACTGCAACCTCTGCCTCCTGGGTTCAAGTGATTCTCCTGTCTCGGCCTCCAGAGTAGCTGGGACTATAGGCACCTGCCACCACGTCAAACTAATTTTTTGTATTTTTAGTAGAGATGGGGTTTCACCATGTTAGCCAGGATGGTCTCAATCTCCTAATCTCATGATCCACCTGCCTCAGCCTCCCAAAGCACTGGTATTACAGGCGTGAGCCACTGCACACAGCTAAAAAAGTTTTGAAGGTAGCTGAAATCAAGCAGAAGCCGACAGCAGCAGCAGAAGAGTACCAAGAGGGTAAAGCAATAATAGATCTAAGAAGTCACCAGTGACAGCCAGGCACAGTGGCTCATGCCTGGAATCCCAGCATTTTGGGAGTCCAAGGAATGCGGATTGCTTGTAGGCCAGGACTTCGAGACCAGCCTGACCAACGTGGCAAAAATCAGACTAACAGCAGACCTCTCAGCAGAAACTCTGCAAGCCCAAAGAGATTGGGTGTCAGTAATCAACATTCTTAAAGAAAAGAATTTTGAACCTGGAATTTCATATGCTGTTAAACTAGCTCCATAAGTGACGGAGAAATAAAATCTTTTTCAGACAAGCAAATGCTGAGGGAATTTGTTACCACCAGGCCTGCCTTGTAAGAGCTCCTGAAAGAAGCACTAAATAAGGAAAGAAAAAACTGATACTGGCCACTGCAAAAACACACCAAAATATAAAGATCAATGACACTATGAAGAAACTGCATCAACTAGTGTGCAAAATAACCAGATAGCATCATCAGATGATCAGATGACAGGATCAAATTCACACATAACAATACCAACCTTAAATGTAAATTGGGCTAAATGCTCCAATCAAAAGACACAGACGGGCAAATTGGATAGAGTCAAGACTCATCAGTGTGCTGTATTCAGGAGACCCATCTCACATACAAAGACATGCATAGGCTCAAAATAAAGGGATGGAGGAAAATTTGCCAAGGAAATGGAAAGCAAAAGAAAAACAGGGGTTGCAATCCTAGTCTCTGACAAAACATACTTTGAACCAACAAAAATCAAAAAAGACAAAGAAGGGCATCGCATAATGGTAGAGGAAAATATTTAACAAGAAGAGCTAACTATTCTGAATATATATGCACCCAATACAGGAGCACCCAGATTCATAAAACAAATTCTTATCGACCTACAAACAGACTTAGACTTCTACATAATAACAGTGAGAGACTTTAACACCCCACTGTCAAGATTAGACAGATCAACAAGACAGAAAATCAACAAGAATATTCAGGACTTGAACTCAGCTCTGGATCAAGTGGACCTAATAGACATCTACAGAACTCTCCCCCTCAAATCAACAGAATATATATTCTTCTCACATGGTATTTATTCTAAAACCGACCACATAATTGGAAGTAAAACACTCTTCAGCAAATGCAAAAGAACTGAAATCATAATGAACAGTCTCTCATACCACAGCACAATCAAATTAGAACTCAGGATTAAGAAATTCACTCAAAACCACCCAATTACATGGAAATTGAATAACCTTCTCCTGAATGACTCCTGGGTAAATAATAAAATTGAGGCAGAAATCAAGAATATTTTTTAAACCAATGAGAACAAATAGACGATGTACCAAAATCTCTGGGACATAGCCAAAGCAGTATTAAGAGGGAAATTTATAGCACTAAATGCCCACATAAGAAAGCTAGAAAGATCTAAAATCAACACCCTAATGTCACAATTAAAAGAGCTAGAGAGACAAGCAAACAAATCCAAAAGCTAGCAGAGGGCAAGAAATAGCTAAGATTAGAGCAGAATTAAAGGAGATAGAGACACAAAAAACTCTTCAAAAAACCAGGAGCTGTTTTTTGAAACAAAACAAAACAAAACAAAATAGATAGACTGCTAGCTAGACTAATAAAGAAGAAAAGTGAGAAGAATCAAATAGACACAATACCACAATACAAAATGATAAAGGGCATAGCATCACTGACCCCACAGAAATACAAACTACCATCAGAGAATACTATAAATGCCTCTACACAAATAAACTAGAAAATCTAGAAGAAATGGATGAATTCCTGGACACATACACCCTCCTAAGACTAATCCAGGAAGAAGTCAAATCCCTGAATAGACCCATAACAAGTTCTGAAACTGAGGCAGTAATTAACAGCCCACTGACCAAAAAAAGCCCAGGACCAGACTGATTCACAGCTAAATTCTATTAGAGGTACAAAGAGGAGATGGTGCCTTTCCTTCCGAAACTATTTCAAACAATTGAAAAGGAGTGACTCCACCCTAACTCATTTTATGAAGCCAGCATCATCCTGATACCAAAACTGGGAAGAGACACAAGAAAAAAAGGAAACTTCAGGCCAATATCCCTGATGAACATCGATGCAAGAATCCTCAATAAAATACTGGCAAACTGAATCTAGCAGCACATTAAAAAACTTATCCACCATGATCAAGTCAGCTTCATCCCTGGAATGCAAGCCGTGTTCAACAGATACAAATCAATAAGCACAATCCATCATAAAACAGAACAAAAGAAAAAAACCATGTGATTATCTCAATAGATGCAGAAAAACATCTTTGATTAAATTCAGTATCCCTTCATGTTAAAAACTCTCAATAAACTAGGTATTGATGGGATATATCTCCAAATAATAAGAGCTATTTATGACAAACTCACAGCCAATATCATGTTGAATGGGCAAAAGCTGAAAGCATTCCCTTGGAAAACTGACAAGAGACAAGGATGCTGTCTCTCACCACTCCTATTCCACATAGTATTAGAAGTTCTGGCCAGGGTAATCAGGCAAGAGAAAGAAATAAAGGATATTTTATTAGAAAAAGAGGAAGTCAAATTGTCTCTGTTTGCAGATGACATGATTGTACCTTCAGAAAACCCCATCATCTCAGTCCCCAAACTCTTTAAACTGATAAGGAACGTCAGCAAAATCTTAGGATACAAAATCAATGTGCAAAAATTACAAGCTTTCCTTTACAACGACAACAGTCATGCAGAGAGCCAAATCATGAATGAACTCCCACTCATAATCACTACAAAGAGAATAAAATACCTAGGAACACTGCTAACAAGGGATGTGAAGGACCTCTTCAAGAAGAACTACAAACCACTGCTCAAAGAAATAAAGGAGAACACAAACAAATAAAAAAAATTTCAACCTTATTGTTAGAAAGAATCAATATTGTGAAAATGGCCATACTATCCAAAGTAATTTATGGATTCAATGCTATTCCCATCAAACTACCATTGACATTCTTCACAGAATTAGAAAAAACTGCTTTAAAATTCATATGAAATCAAAGAAGACCCCATGTAGCCAAGACAATCCTAAGGAAAAAGAACGAAGCTGGAGGTGTCATGCTGCTTGACTTCAAAGTACATTACAAGGCTACAGTAACCAAAACAGCATGGTGCTGGTACCAAAACACACAAATGGAACAGAACAGAGACCTTAGAAATAACATCACACATCTACAATTATCTGATCTTTGACAAACCTGACAAAAACAAGCAATGGGGAAAGAATTTTTTGTTTAATAAATGCTGCAGGGAAAATTGGCCAACCATATGCAGAAAACTGAAACTGGACTCTTTCCTTACACAAAAATTAACTCAAGATGGATTAAAAACTTAAATGTAAAACCCAAAACCATAAAAACCCTAGAAGAAAACCTAGGCAATACCATTCAGGACATAGGTATGGTCAAAGGCTTCACGATGAAAATGTCAAAAGCAATTGCAACGAAAGACAGAATTGACAAATGGGATCTAATTAAACGAAAGAGCTTCTGCACAGCAAAAGGAACTATCATCTGAATGAACAGGCAACCTACAGAATGGGAGAAAATTTTGCAATTCACCCATCTGACAAAAGTCTCATATCCAGAATTTATAAGGAACTTACACAAATTTACAAGAAAGAAACAACCCCATCAAAACGTGGGCAAAGGATATATGAACAGACACTTCTCAAAAGAAGACATTTACACAGCCAACAAACATGAAAATAAGCTCAACATCACTGAATATTAGAGAAATGCAAATCCAAGCTACAATGAGATACCATCTCATGCCAGTCAGAATGGCACTTATTAAAAAGTCAAGAAACAACAGATGCTGGTGAGGCTGTGGAGAAATAGAAACACTTTTACACTGTTGGTGGAAATGTAAATTAGTTTGACCATTGTGGAAGACAGTGTGGACATTCCTCAAGGATCTAGAACCAGAAATATAATTTTATCCAGCAATCCCATTACTGGGTATATACCCAAAGAAATATAAACCATTCTACTATATAGACACATACACATGTATGTTTATTGCAGCACTATTTACAATAGCATAGTCATGGAACCAAACAAAATGCCCATCAATGATAGACTGAATAAAGAAAATGTGATATACACAAATCATGGAATACTATGCAGCCATAAAAAGAATGAGATCATGTTCTTTGCAGGGACATAGATGAAGCTGGAAGCCATCACTCTTAGCAACTTAAAATAATAATTAAAAAATGTGGCACTTTCCCCTTAGCTCACCCTCTCCTGGTTTGCTGTGGTAAGATGTGTTTGCTTCCTCTTCATCGTGTCCCATGATTCTAAGTTTTCTCAGGCCTCCCAGCCATGTGGAACTGTGAGTCAATTAAACTTCTTTTTTTTTTTAAAAAAAAATAAATAAATTACCCAGTCTCAGGTAGTTCTTTTTTTTTTTTTTGATGATAAATGCATTTCATTATTTATTTAGATGTTTAAGCTCTCGCACTAAGTTTTTACAAGCTGGTGAACACTGACAAATTATTTCTCCCATAGAACTATAACCACACATCCCCAGACAGTATAAATACATGGTTGAACTAACATTAATACACATCACCATTTTATCAATTACATAATAAAACAAATTATCAAGTATCCAAATATTAAGTTACGCAGCTCAAAAGGCATATAAAATATTAGATGTCTGCTCAATTCATTAGCAGAAACCCATTTCTTTTTTTGCAAGAGAGGCTCGGAAGGAAAAAAAAAGAATCACACTTTCAAACAAAAATAAGTTGGTAAACAACTTCTGTTAAGTATGGAAAAAAGAATTACAAGAATTTCAGGAAGTTTATGATTACAATAACAAAGCATCTCTACCTTTAAAAAAATATTTTACTAAATTAAAGAGCATATTCTACATGTTCTGCACAAGACAAAGGCAACACTTTGCTAAAAATAATTAACAGCCCCCTCCCATTCTTTCTCAGGCCCTCCCTGTTAAGTTGCACCTCAGAGTGCAAACATTAAATTAACTGTAAGGCTTTTTTGTCTGAAGACATTAAAGACATGTGCTTCTGTACAATGTAGATTTTCAAAATGGAGGTTTTTTATAACAGCACAAAGTGAGATTTGTAGAAACACATTAAATAATCACTTTAAGACTTGGTTTTAAAAAAAAATGCAATGGTTAAGCAAACCTGATGTATAGTGGTATGAATGTGGGAGATGTAAACATAAAGCGAGCAGGCAAATAACAATGTAGGCCCTACTTTCAATGTCTGAAATGATTGCAGGAATAAACCACATAAGGTCTAGAGTGTTCATAGTTCCTGGGATTTAGTTCTGTATGGTACTAAAAAATATATATATAAGTATTTTGCTGGGTATTTTGGCACCTAAATCTTCCTACATATGTATTGATAAGATTCTGGCATGGGAATAGATTGAAACAAGTCATTAACTCAATACTACATGATTTTGGGAATGGTCAATTGGTACGAATGACAGACACATTTGATATGCTGACAACAAGAATCTTTTGCCAAGTGTCTAAATAGGTTGGTTGCCAAATCTGTCTAGCTTGTGGCCTGATAAAAATGCCTTTCAATACTCCTGTGGAAGCTTCATTAGACTTACTCACTAAGCCAACATGTTGGCTAATCTGTGTAACAAATTAGGTCATATCTCAGATTCCACTTTCAATAGCATTAGGCACCCCAGTTTTATTGAATGCAACAGTTGTTTCTATGACCATTGGAATCTTTGAAGCGCAGCCACATTTTAGGACGATACTTCTCCAAATACAAAAGTTGCTTGCTGTTAAAAGCTCCACGCCGCTTTTGTCTTATGAATTGTACTGCATCTTCATACTTCATTCCACCTTCAATTAATGCTAGGGCAACAAGTACTGGAGCTCTCCCAAGGCCTGCAACGCAATGAACAGCAATACAACAACCAGGTTCTTCACGAAACTTGATTTTTACAAGACTTAACCGGTCATCAACAATCTGGTTGGACGTGCCCCATCATCAAAAGGCCAATCGAGAACACGGATACCTTCTTTCTCCACAAGAGTAGTGTCATAAGTTGCTTCACATACTCTTACTATTGTGGTAACTCCATACTTCTTAAGTTCCTCTATAAATTTGTTTACGGTCGCATTGGTTGGATTGTGTGTAATAAGAAATCTCATGTTCTTGTATGTGACTTCCACGGGGGCTGGGCGGTTCATTCGAGCCATGTTAATTTAGTTAAAAAACACTCAATAGGGTTATGAAATAATTTAAAAAACTGAATACAGAAATGATGCAAAGAAACTGAAGTCTACTTCGATATACTCCACTTGAAATTCTCAGTGCTCTTGAGTATGAAGTTGTTAAGTAATGATAAATGAAATGAACCTCCTAACAAGAAGCAGCAATTCTTCAATCCAGTAATACTGAGGCAACAGAAAAGAAGTGCACTGAGGTCCACCCCATCCAGGTCAGAACTCTTGTAAAATGCTCTGTGGATTTCAATTAAACACTTCTGTGTCCAGGATAACCACTCTTATGGGGGCTTCTTGGTGGAGTAGCAATCAATTTCTACAGTTCACTTGTCTGCATAGAGGTCGTGCTGTGCCTGGCAGTAATCTCCACTTCCCTTCAGAAACTCCATAAATGTGTGACCCAGAACACCACAGAATTGGGGAATATGTTTACTCATTGAAGATTGTGGCCTAATCATACAGCCGGTCCCGAGGCGGCGGCGACACAGGCGGTGGCGGCGGCTGCAGGGCAGGAGGCGGCGGCGGTCGTGGCGGAGCGGCGGCGGCGGCGATGCAGGCCAGGTAGTTCTTTATAACAGTGTGAGAGTGGACTAATGCAGAGAGTCTCAGCCAGGTAGTCACTAACTAGTTATAACCACTAGAAGAAAAATGCAAATCTTCCTTAGCATCAGAAGTACACACATGCACATAAAATGCTTAGAAGACAGAATGAGGAGTGTTGACTTTAAAAAAATCCAAATCCCCAGAATATATAATATAAATCAATGTGACTAAAACAAGATCAAACATCTTGGTCCTATCAATAAAAGTAAATGGGCTTAAGTCACTTATTTAAAAAAGAAATTTTGAGATTGAATTACAAAATGAAAGCCAACATTTTATCATGTATAAAAATCTCACTTAAAAACATTATTGAAAATAAATATATAGGCAAAGATACAATCAGTATACAACAATAAAAAGAAATCAGAGACCATGTAATTCAGGCCAAAATTTTTAAGAAAGTAGAAATTATAGGAGATGCAATAAGAAATGGATAGAAACACACTGTTAATAGAAGACTTTATTTTTGCTTATTTTAGCCTATGAGAGATCAGTGTAGAAAACAGAAAAGAATGGAAGACCCAAATGACTCATTTAACAGAATCAATATGATTGAAACGTGTTGAACTCCATATCCAGAAAATAGAGTAGGCACATTTTCCCTACCCTCTCTTAAACAACTCTTGAGTCACAGAAGAAATAAAAATACAAATTGCAGGATATTTAGCAAATAACAAAAATAAAAATACTGCCTATGAGAAGCTATGGAAGATTGCTAATACAGAGCCTACAGAGAGGGAAAAAGCCTTAGCTGGATGGGGTAGTTCATGCCTGTCATCCCAGCTACTTGAGAGGCTGAGATGGGTGTATCATTTGAGGCCAGGAGTTCAAGACCAGCTTGGGTAACACAGTGAGACTCCATCTCTAAAACAAAACAAAACAAAACAAAATAGTGGGACCTGGTGGCACATGTCTGTATCCCAGCTACTTGGGAGGCTGAAGCAGGAAGATAGCTTAAGCTGAGGAGTTCAAGGCTGTAGTGAGCCTTTTCACCACTGTACTCCAGCCTGAGCAACACAGCAGGATCCCTATCACCAAAAACAACAAAACCAAACCAATAATAGCCTTAATTAATAAACCAGTGGGAAAAGAGACACCAGTTGAAACATCTGCCTCAGAAAAGTTAGAGCAAGTACAAAAAAGTAAAGCAAATTATATGATCATAAGCCTGGAAAACTCAAGAGAAGCAATTAAAAATATACTATCATAATAGGAAAATTTAGTAAGTTTCAAAACTAAGATATAGAAATGAGTAGCATTTTTATATGGTAGTAAAAACCAGTTAAAAGACATAATGCAAGGGAAGACCTCTCTGTAATAGAAATGAAAGCATCACTGCCACCAAAGCTCAGACTAAACTTAAAGAAAGTCTGCATCACCACACGCAGAAAATAAATGTAAAATCTCCACTGAAGGCACAAAGGACACTTGAACAAACTGACCCAACATGGCATGCTCTTGGAGAAGCAGTCTAGCATCATAAAGTCGGGAGTTCTCCCTGTTTTTATTTATAAATTTAACACAATCCCTCCCACTACAAGTGCCAACAGATTTTTAAAAAGTTGAGTAAAGCTGATTGACACACAATCTTCATACTCACAGATTCCGTATCTGCGAATTTGTCTACTGTTCAAATTTATCTGAATCCTCAAATCAATGCTCATGGCACTTTTTTTTTTTGTCATTTATAGACATGCAGCGTGGCAAATAATTTGAGTCACCTATGCATGTTTTTAGCTGAGGTCAAACAAGGTGATGCTTTGCCTTCTTCTTTCAGCATTCACACTGTAAACAAAAGTCCATTTGTGGTCTATTTGGTGTCTTTTTTTTTTTTGTATTTTTGTGCTTTTTGTTGGTGATTTCACTATTTAAAGTAGCACCTAAGTGTAATGCTGAAGGGTTGTTAGTGTTCCTAAGTACAAGAAAGCTGTGACGTGGGAGAGAAAGTATGTGTGTTAGATAAGCTTTGTTCAGGCATGAGTTACAGTACTGTTGACTATGAGTTCAATAGTAACGAATCATTGTGATATTAAATAAGGTATCTTTATACAGAAACACACATAAAACAAGGTTATGTATTGATCAGTTGATGAAAATATGACCAGAAGCTTCCAAAAACCAAATTCTGTATTTTTACTAGAAGCAATGGTCCAACATTTGCTAAGTCCGTGTTCATGGTGACTTTAGAGAGTATAACTACCAGGAATAATGAGAATTGACTGTGTGCCTGTGTGTGTGTGTGTGTGTGTGTGTGTGTGTGTATACATACACACACATATTTGTATTTTCAGAATCTACCCACTTTTGAACACTACCACTGCTACCAACTTAGTCCAATTCACTGTCACCCTTCTAAGACCATTGCAATAGCCTCCTTACCCCTGCCCATCCTTGCCCTCCTAAAGTCTGTTATTCATGTAGAATCCAGAGCTTCTCCTCAAAAACATCATTCGGATTATATTCCCCAGCTGAAAACTCTCTGATGTCTTCTCTTACTTAAGAATCCAGAGTTTTTAACTTAAGGCCTGTAAGTGCTATATGCCTCTAAGAAACCACTTCCCACCCAACTCCTCTCTACCTCTCCAGCCAGTGGCCTTCTTGCCATTCCCTAAAGGACCACGTATAGTGCTGTCTCAGGTCTTTGCAGCTGAGGTTTTCTCTGTCTCAGCTCCATGGCTTAGTCCCTTAATGCACTTAGATTTTGAGTTAAATAACTTGTTAGCAAGACTCTCCTTGGCGACCCTATATAAAATGGCACATTTCTGTCACTCTACACCTCCATGATCCTTTATTTTTCTTTATAACATTGTTACTATCTGAAATATTATGTACTTATTTGTGTATTGTTTATATACCCTAAGTAGAATGTAAGCTTGATGAGATTTTGCTCGCTTCCTTATCCCTATTGAGCAGCATTGGAAATAAGCATTTGCTGAATAAATGAATAAAGGGTCTAAAAAGGAAAGAGAATAAATAGTGAGATATCGCTACGTTCATGAATAGAAACACTCAATATTTTAGAGATGTCAGTTACCTCCACATTTATTCTATGTAACTTCAATAAAAATTCAACAGGATTTTCAAAGGTTGACAAAATGATATAAAAGTTACAAGAATGATAAAATGGCCATAATAGCCAAGACAATTTTGAAAGAGAAAAAAGTTGAGCGAATTTAGCCTGCCTGATATTAATACATTACAAAATTATAGCACTTAGTATAGTGTGATATGTATTGATGCAGAATAGATAGGGCAGTTGTTGAATGGAGAACGGATTCTGGTGGGCAAGAAAGAAAGCAGAGAGACCAGTTAGGAGGACTCTGCAGTGTTCCACATGCAAGATAATAGGACTCGGACTGGGGTAGTGGCAGGGAAGGTAAGGAATGGGCAGATTTGACATACAGTCTTGGAACTTGTTGATGGCGAGAGTGCAAAGGGTTAGGATAGGGGGAAATCAAGCTTCCCTTCTACATTTTTGGCTCAGTCTTAGTAAATATGGTGCCATTTACTGAGATGAGGAATACTGATGAAGATGACAAGTTTGGGAATGAGAATGGAAAAAGTGTGTTTGACCCATCAGATTTAAGACACCTGTTAGACTTCAAGTAGAAGTTTGGAGTAAGAAGTTGAATTTATGACTTGGCAGTTGAAAAGAAAGGAAAGAGAAATATAATTGGTAGTCATTCACATATTGATAAAATTTAAGGAACAGGACTAGATGCAATTCTTAGGGAGACAGTATATTAGAGATAAGGAAAGCACTCAGGCTCAATCCCCCATGTTGGGGAACTCCAATATGTAGACATCAGGAAGCCAAGAAGGGACCACCACCAGCACCACCATCAATACTGCCAACAGTACTATCACTATCCACACTACCACCAACATCACCAGCAAATGACCAGGAAGGAGCTACTAGCCAGTAGGAGATGGGGGTGTTCCAGAAAACAAGGGAAGAGAGTGCATCCATCCACACTGCCCGAAGGTGACCACCTTCTCCCAGTTCACACACCGGATCATGGTCATATTTAAGTACATATTTTGTAGAATCATAATTTGGATTAAATTTTCACAAACTGGTAGAATAATACCTGCCAGGTGTTAGGAGGCAAAGGGCAGCCAATAACTCCCGATCAGAAAGGCCATGAGCAGATGATCACTGCAGGCCATGCTCAGACAAGTCACAACAGCTCGATCTCTTGGACTGGAGGAACCAGCTTTTTGGAAACAGACCTTTTTAGGTCTCAGACCTTAGGCTCCCGACAGGAGATTCACTTCCCCTTCCCCCACTGCTCTCCACACCTACTGTCTACTCCCTGCCTCATCTGTGAAGCCAGCAGGACATTCACCCTTGGACAATCTGTACAGTTCTCCTAGGGAGAAGCCAAGCTGCTTACTGAGAACATATAGTCTAGAAGCAGCCTTGCCCACATGATTGAGATCCACAGAGAACCCGGATTAGCTGACAATATTGATTACCATGTGATTATCTATGACAAAGAGCAAGCAATGGAAAATCCCTGATCTTCTAATTTATAGTTTATTGACATTTCTTTACTTATCCTTTTATTTTTAATATTTTTTATTTGCTTGCTTTAAGTAAATATTTTGTAGAATCACATATTTGGATTAAATTTTCACAAACTGGTAGAATTAATTAATTTATGTAAATTACTCACCTAATAACTATTAATTGAGCCCTTATTGTGAATCAACTCACTATCCTAGATGCTGAGGATACAGTTGTGAATAAAACAAAGTCCTTACTGGCATAGAGCTTATAGTCTGGTGAGGAAACAGCAAAGAAGAAATAAACACAGAAGATGGCAGAGTGTTTTCAGGAAAAGTAAACTAGAATAAAGACTTCAGGGAGTGGTGAACAGAGCTAGAAGTGTGTGTGGGAGGAGGATGTGTTATTTTATATAGAAAAGCCAGGAAGAACTTCTCATAAGTCAGCATTTGAGGAGAGGCCTAACAAAAAGAGAGTAAGCTATTAATCCTGTCCTTCATTGGTTAAGATGCCCAAATCATACTCTAGAAAGACTATTGCAGGCTCTGAGCACACTCCCTTATCCTGTGGAAGTGGGGGTCACTGTGAATTGTCTTGCCATGTCCTATAGACTGAGATACAGTGACTTCATCTCCAACCAAAAACATTCTACCATCTCTACTATGAGCATGGGCTTGGCCAAAGTGTCTCAAAATCTTGGCTACTGTGCTGAAGCCTTTCACACTCTTGGTTGGGGGATCCCCTAATCCCTTTAAATCTGGATCTTTCTTCCATTTCACGTGATTTCCTATTTTACTTCAATAGTGATGCACAGTTTTGAAATCTGTTTGTACAGCCCAAACATGAGTCTTTAGTACAGCTGTGGTCTAATTTACAAGGGAAGAAAGGTTGTGGGAGGGTTGGGAGTGTGAAGTAGATAAGTAGAACACTTAAAAGGGAAGCATGATGAGGCCCATAGGATGAAGTCTGGTAAATTGAAGTGGTATAAAGAAAAGCCATCAGTATTTTGAGATATAAGAGAATAAAATGCAGAAACTATCTTGATGTTGGGAATAATAATTAGCCTATAGACAGTAGTAAAATATTATACAAGATGTAGTGTTAAAAGAAAGACACCATCAGCATCCTCACCGAAATACTAAACTAACTTCACATTATGTATTTAGGTGAAGACAAAAAAGGAAATCTGAAAATAAAATGATATGGGATCTGGAGCTCATTTAGAATGGAGAATGGGAGAGCTGTAGTTGAAAAATCTACATGCGTACTAGGCCGGGTGTGGTGGCTCACACCTGTAATCCCAGCACTTTGGGAAACCAAGGTGAGTGGATCATCTGAGATCAGAGTTCGAGACCAACCTGACCAATGTGGTGAAACCCCATCTCTACTAAAGATACAACAATTAGCCAGGGATGGTGGTGGGCACCTGTAGTCCCAGCTACTCAGGAGGCTGAGACAGGAGAATTACTTGAACCCGGGAGGCAGAAGTTGCAGCAAGCTGAGATTGCAGCACTGCACTCCAGCCTGGGTGACAGAGCTAGACTTCATCTTAAAAAAAAAAAAAAAAAAAACTGTATGCATCTTATTTCACTGTTTTTAGGTGACATTTATTTCAGGCACTTCTTTATTTTTCCCAGTAACATTGAGCTCCACAGGCTTACATTTCTTGTAAGGCTAACTAATGAAATTCCACAGACCAGATTTTAAAAATGTAAGTCTTCATAACTAACAAAATAAATTACTGAAGGAGATGAAAGGAAAGGCCCTTCAACCCATAGTTGTGGAAGGAGAGGGAACATTCTGTATCATAACACTAGCATAAAGAATCTGATTTGACAAAGCGTTAAACTGAGAAATTTCAAAAGAAGACCAGTCTTACTCTCTTGCAAAATATGGAAGCATGTCTTTTCATAACCATTGCTAATTTGTTTTGTCCTCTGCTAATATAAACTTATCCTTAGGAAAGCTATCTGAAGAGGTCTTGTGATAATCCCACAAAACAGAAAATTATTGCCACTTCTCATGAAACCAGTTTCCAAGGAAACATGTAATTCTAATTAATTGTCTTATTTCATAATTTTTGGGCCTGGCCATAATATTTTAAGTGATACCTGGATCCCTAAACTGTATAAATGCTTGTAAGATTTTATATTAACTCAGTGCCATTCTAATTCTCTCATATGCAAGTAAGAAATTGACTATAAACTTCTTATAAACAAAGATTTTGAGAGCCTGATCTCATTTAAATTCACTTCAGTTATTATGTAATAGAAAAAAGATATTAATAGTAACACATAAATGTATACAACGTATAAAATATTTTTAAAATGCCAGAATTACACAGAGAACATTTTCAGTGGAAGAACATAAGACACGAATAAAAGAGTAAAGTCTCTGTTTTTCCCAAATTAACCTGCAAGTTCAATGATTTTTTTTGTTTGTTTGTTTTTTGAGACAGGGTCTTGTTCTGTCACCCAGGCTGGAGTGCAGTGGTGCAGTATCAGCTCACTGCATCCTCTGCCTCCCGAGTTCAAACAATCCTCCTGCCTCAGCCTCCTGAGTAGCTGGGATTACAGATGTAAGCCACCACACTCAGCCAGTTCAATGCTTTTCTAATCAGAGCTTTCAATGGATTTAGGAAGGAGTTGGAAGAGATTTCTTAAGCTCATTCTAAAATTCACCCCCACTGAGGCATCGGGATGGTTCTATCTCTGAGCTCTTCTTTCTTTTCTGTAGTCCCTTCAATTACAAAACAAAAACAAAAACAAAAACAAAAACAAAAAAAATTAAAAAATAGAATATAGACAGGTAAAGGCACTGTGCCATCAAAGTGGTGATTCAAATCACCATGCCATAGAGTGGAGAATATTTTGTAAATTCTCACTCACTTATACACAAAGGCAAATCCCATGTGGATTATATATAGAAACATTAAAAATGATCCGTTATATCAAACTTCTAGAATCAAATTTAGAACAATATTTAAAAAATCTTGTGGAAGAAATGACCATTGCAAATATGATATGGAACCTGGGAACTAGTCAGAAAAAGGCTGGCAAAATCAACAAAAATAAGCAATGGGAAATGGGCTGTCTATTCAATAAACGATGCTGGAATAACTGGCTGGACATACAAAGAAGAATGAAGCTGGACCCACAGTTCTCATCCTATGCAAAAATTAAGATGGATTAAAGATTTAAATGTAAAACCTAAAACTATAAAAATCCTAGAATAAAATCTAGGAAATACCCTTCCTAGTATAGACCTTAGCAAATAATTTATAGCTAAGTTTCCAAAAACAATTGCAACTAAAACAAAAATTGTCAAGTGGAACCTAATTAAACTAAATAACTTTTGCACAACAAAAGAAATTACCAAAAGAGTAAACAGACAGTCTTCAGAATGGGAGAAAATTTTTGCAAACTGTGCATATGACAAAGGTCTAATAACCAGAATCTAGACGGAACTTAAACAAACCAACAAGCAAAAACCTAAAATCCAATTTAAAAATGAGCAAAGGACACGACAGACACTTCTCAAAAGAAAATATCCAAGTGGTCAACAAACATATGAAAACATGCCCAACATCACTAATCATCAGATAAACACAAATCAAAATCACAAGTGAGATATCATCTCACACCACTCAGAATGGCTGTTATTAAAAAGTCAAAAAAATTAAAATAACAGATGCTGGTGAGGTTGTGGAGGAAAAAGAACACTTTTACATGATTAGTGGGGATGTAAAATTAGTTCAACCATTGTGTAAGACAGTGTGGTGATTCCTCAAAGACCTAGAGACTGAAATACCATTTGACCCAGCAATCCCACTACCTTTAAGTATATACCCAAAGGAAAATAATTGAGTCTATCAAAAAGATACATGCATTCATATGTTCTTTGTAGTGTTATTCACAACAGCAAAGACATGGAACCAACCTAGTTGCTGATTAACCGTGAATTGGATAAAGAAAATGTGGCACACATATACACCATGAAACAGCCATAGAAAGAATGAAAACATGTCCTTTGCAACAACATAGGTGGAGCTGGAGGCTGTTATCCCAAGCAACTTAATGCAAGAACAGAAAACCAAATACTGCATGTTCTTACTTAGAAGTGGGAGCTAAAGATTGAATACACATGAATACGAAGATGGGAACAAGAGACACTGGGGATCACTAGATGGGGGAGGGAGAGATGGAGGGTGGCATGGGCTGAAGAACCATCTGTTCAGTACTATGCTTCCTGCCTGGGTGACCCCAAGCTTCAGCATCACACAATTTACCCATGTAACAAACCTGCACATGTACCCTTTAATCTATAATAAAAGCTGAAAAAAGAAAATAATGATAATAAGCCTTAGCATTAAAAAATAGCTCATTTGTAACATAAAAATTAAGTAAATTCTAATTTGTTCTTACTTCTTTTCCCACTGTGTTTTTCCAAAGTAGAATTGTTTTCAACATCCATGGTATCTAGAAAGTGACAGGTAGTGGTCAGAGAACTGTAACTTATAAGTAAAATTTACAAATATTATGACAATTCATTCTACATGGAAGGCTTGGGTTTATAACAATATTTTGAGTATAATTTATCTGTCTTCCTTCCAAAGGAAACAGATACTAAATTGATGTCTAAGGTCTTCCTCTAGTTCTGTGAGACTTTGAAACAGCTCCTAATTACTTAATTAGGCACCAGTTTCCTCATTTATGAAACAGGGATGGCAACAGTTATCCTGCTCAGCTTTAAACTTTTTATGAATATAAAATATGATCTTATTTGCAAAAGGTAATAGGAAATAACTATATAAATCAATAACAGACCAGAGGATATCTTTCAAAACGATGTGTTTTTAGCTTAAGAGTAGGTATCTGAGGCTTTTTCCTGACAGGTAGCAGGACTGTCTTTTTAGGCCTTTCCAAAGTTGTGACAAAGTGGCACTATTACGTTTGAGTGGAAGAATGTATTTTTGTTTGTTTGTTGCAAGAAGAGTGAAACCTGCTTTATGTATTCAACACTTAGCATTGATATGCTAATATAGCAAGTGAGATACTGCTGTTTTTACCAGTGTGTTTTTTACTACCTAGGAGAGCTCATTCTGTTAAACAAGAGTTTATAATGATCTCTTGCCTCTCAGCAGTTCCCAAAAGGGTCAGGTTAGGCAGATGCAGAGAACAGGATTCTGGCATGGACTGAACCTGTTCTTTGTCACAGTCTGCTCACAGTCGAGTGCAGCAGGAAAGGAAGGCTATGATTTCAGACTTTTGAAATTCTGAGGCTTGAGGCCTGTGATTCTACTTCCTGTTGGTGATCCAGAGGCTGCTTGATGCTCCGCTTCAACTCTGATCACTTCCCACATCCCCACCCAGTGTCTGTGAAATCAACGGAGCCACTTCCATCCCAAGACCCTAGGGCAGCCTTACCCATCATGCCAGATGCTTGGCTACTTTCAGGCCTTGCTTCTTGGCTTCTTGGCACACCTTTTGGAAAACACATGACACAGGTACACTTCTCATTTTCATGTTCTTGTAGCTGTGATCCTAAATTGTGATTTGTAAAAATTTTTATTTGTGCTTACTCCTCTCCTGAGATTCTCCTTTCCCCCAATGTTAGTGACTACCCACTCCCCACAGCTAAATTAAGGGATGGGCGCTACCTCTGAAATCTTTTTCTTTTTTATTTGTCCCTTCCATTCATGAATAACCCTGAGAATATCATCTTGAAATAAAGGGTCAATTAATAGTATGTTTCAGTGATGGAGAACACTGGAGGAGCAAAGTCTGGTTTTAGGGAAAAAGATGATGTGCCTAGTTTTGGAGGTGTTGAGACTGAAGTTTGAAGATAGAGTGGTGAAGTCTAAGGTCTTCAGGACCTCGGACAGGAGCCTTCTGACACTTGGATGAATGAGTTTAGAAGAGAGGGCTGGCTGGAGATACACAATGTAGGAATCATGACGTTGTGGGTGGTGACTGAAATCACAGTGGATGAAATGTCTGGGTGAGGCCTTTTGTAATCTGGATGAGTCAGAGGGGCCAGGGGATACCTTACTCTGAAAACGTACTGCTATTATGAATCATGCCTTGTGCTAAGGTTGCTTTTAACTCATGGTCATTTCAGATCCCACAGTTTCTCCATCATTGTCTTCTCTCCGTTTTACACTTCCCCCTTCTCGCCTCCATTTTCTCTCGTGTTTTAATTCACCTACATACCTGACATTGTACCACATTTTTTACACCACTCCATTTTATCACCCTTTCTGTGTATCTCATTCCACCTGTTTTCCTGTTTGCGTCTCTAGATCTAGTTTTCTTATTGAGGTGAACTTCTTCCTACTGTCACTTGCCCCTTCTGTTCTCTCTTCTAGCTTTGTTTCTCTGAATCTTATCTTCATCATTTGTCTGTTTTCACAATTTAAATCTTTGTCTTTATCCACATTTTCTTTATCTGTACTCATCTTTATCTCAGATTATTACTTTATTACCAAATGCCTGCTCTTTGGACACTGACCACATAGCCATCTCTATGTGGTCTGTTCCCTATGAGCTTTCTACCTTGCAGGGCTGTCAAACAATCACAAATTTTATTTTCACGTTTCTGGTACAATTTCTGAGAAGTATTTTGAAAATTATCCCTCTTCCCCCAAAGAACTCCCTGACCGGGAATATTTGGATTCCTTCTCCACTTAGAAAAACTTGAAGCTGGTTCTTATATCTTTTCATTTGGTGACTCCAGCCTACCTTTCTCCACTTTTTTCCTTACTTTTTCCACTCAGTGTCTCCTCCCTCTATTCAGGAACCAAGCTCTTCTTTTTCTTTTGGCTCCCTCAAACCCAGTCTGTGCACAATTCTCTCTGTGTGTGGTGTGCGTGTGTGTGTGCATATGTTTTGGAGGAGAGGTAAGGAAAAGAAGAAACAACTTTTCCTCCACACAAGTGGGAAAACAAAGATAATCGATAACATAATTTGCCTCTCCTTCACAAGCTAATGGGCTGTATCTCTTCTGACTCTCTTTGTTTATTTATTGGAGGAGCTTTGAATTCAAAGGACAATGTAGACAAACAAGGAAATAACAGACTATCAACAGTGAACAGGAAACCAGGGAACATGTCTCAATGTGGTCATGCTGACCTATTTTCAGAGCTTAGATGAACTGACAAAAAAATATACCTACATCAATGAGTACACCTCATAGCCCGACTCTATCTGGCCACATCCGATTCTCTTCTTGACTTCTCATTTTCTGCCCATTGCCCTGCTGCTATACATTTTTGTCTCTATCTCTTTCTTTGATTCTGTAAGCTCATCTCTGATTTTTTCTTGTCTCCTGTGTTACTTTTTCTGTTTTCATCAATGATGTTCTATTCTCCTCTATTTCTATGTTTATCCACTTTGCTTCTATCTTTATAGGTGTTTTGTATACTGTATAGCTGGTTCCATTCCTATTCTCTCTGTCTCTGTGATTTTTATTTTTCCCCCATAAAGATGTATATGTATTAACCTCTACATACACACACACACTCATATGTTATATGTAACAAATATATGCATGTATACACACACACACAGTTGTTGTTAAATAAGCTTTCTTGCATCAGGCACTGGTATAGTCTCCCGTGAATATCTGTGTTCCTTGGGCATCTTCTCTGGACTTTGACTTAAATGATACAGCTATTATCTTTCTGTCTGTTACATATAAAAGTCAACCACATGAGACACCTGGGTTGCTAGTCTCTATTGTTCCTTAAGCTTTTTGGCCCTAATACTTCTATACATCTATTTCCTCACCCCAAAATGGGTATAGTGAGAGTTAGCCTGCCTATGTCTTAAAAATTTTGCAATGACATCTGTACATCTATTTCCCTCACCCCAAAATGGGTATAGTAAGAGTTTGCCTATGTCTTAAAAATTTTGTGATGACAAAATAAGATCTTATTTGCCAAAATATTTTGAAATAACACAATATAATCCAATTACATGATGAAGGACATCTGTCAAAAACTATACTAAAGTTTGAGAGTGTTTGATCTGAAGTTTTTATTTCTGTCTATAATTACATAGTAGGAGCAGTTGTCTTTAGTGGTTTTACAATTACAAATGACATTGATGTCAACCCATTTATTATTATAAAAACCTAAGATCTTAGTGTTAACAGGAATGAGAGCAGGTTTTAAAAACAGATTTGCTATTTATTTCTTCTACAACAGCAATATATAATTACATACATTTAGTCGGTGAGACTCATCCTGTTAAACATGAGTTTATCATAATTTCCTGCCTCCTTTCATTTTCTAAAATGCAAAAAGGAGTTCCCAGATGAACTGGATACAAGGCAGTCAAGGTGCTCAGAATAAAAAGGGTCTGGAAACAGTAGCTTTTAATTCAGATTCCTGACATTCTGCAGGCCAAGTCTTGGCATCCTAATCTTCTTTACCTGACTCACTTCTTAGGGGTGAGCTGCAGGTTTCCTGAGGCTCTTCTCCATCACTCAGCTCTGAAAAGTGAGTATTGCTGAGACCTGCAGAAAAAAAAAATTCCTTAACAGTCTTTGTCTGAGTCTTCGGAACCAGCAGGGAATTCTTCAAAAGAAAAACTGGAGAAGAGAAGCTTGTGTAGGAGTTTGTCCACTTAGACAGATAGGACAAGGACAAGGTCCTATCACTAGGCCACCCTTTGGCTTTGATCATCTGACCTGTTGGTCAAGATTGCTCCAGCAGCCATCTCTGAGGCTGGCGCTGAGGACGATGTTGTTTCTTACATTTCTTACACTTTCATTTGTTTGTACATACTTCTGCTTCCATCTCAGTATCTTATCCAAGGGAACCATGGAAGCAATATCTTAAGAGTGTCAGAGCCTCCATCAGCTGAGCCTTATATGACTGTGTGGGCACCCCTTCCACTCAGGAACTACTTTATCCTAGTTATGTGAGTGAAAAATAAACTTGTGTTGCACTTGTGCCTTTGAACATTTTGAGGCTTATTTTTATACCAGCCCAATTCATCTAAGTGAAAATGTAAAATGCAAAACATCTAAAATCCCAACAAATTATTTTTTTTGTTTTAAAGGCTATGGAAAAAAAAGGGAACATAGCTTTTGTAGCAAAGAAAGGTATTTGTTACATCGAGGGTTTTTAATTGCTCTTACGTCTCTTTCTGTTGTGTATTCTCCAAGTAGATGTACTTCCAGAAGTCATAGGATCTAGAAAATAAAGGAAAACCAAACCAATAATGTCTAATTAAAAAAATCTATAAATCTTATGACTACTTACACTGTTGACAGAATTTGAACTATAAATATTCCACAGGATCATTTCTGTCTCTTCCCATCAAAGGGAAGGGGATTATTATCAAATGGAGTGTAGACCCACAATCCTTTAGCCCTAATTGCAAAATCAAAGACTTTTTTTTTTTTTTTTGAGACAGGGTCTCACTCTGTCAGCCAAACTGGAGGGCAGTGGTGCAATCTCAGTTCACTGCAGTCTCAACCTTCTAGACTCAAATGATCCTTCCACTTCAGCCTTCCAAGTCATTGGGACTACAGGCACGCACCACCACATCTAGCTAAATTTTTGTATTTTTTTTGTAGAAATGGGGTTTTGGCACGTTTCCTAGGCTGGTCTTGAACTCCTGGGCTCAAAAGATCCACATGCCTCACCCTCCCAAAGTGTTGGGATTACAGGCCTGAGCCACTGCACCTGGCCTCAAAGAAATTTTGATAACCAATATTGTTTTCATAGATTTGCAGCTAATTTGGCAGGGAATCTGGACTTGAGTTGCCATGAGTTCATGTCTTACTATATTTGGTGTGAATATTTATATAATTTGCTGCAGAAACATTAGTATATTTGAGAATAGGATTCTGCCTTGGATCCTAGTAGGGTTTTTGCTATATGTAGAATATAAACCACATTGTCTTTCTAAAATAATAAAAGGTTTTTTGAGCTTTGAAGTACATCTGGCTTTAAAGGTTTTATACAGAATTATGAACATTTATGAAGAGTTCAGGCTGCTAGTCTTGTCTCTTCCTATAACTTTCCATATGTGATGTGCAAAGAAAATAGATCATTAAGTGTGCCTGAGTTTCCCCATCTGTGAAATGGGGGGAAAAATAGTTATCTTGCCCACCTTTTTTATTGTTGTAAAGATGCAAGAAGATCTTACTTTCAAATATATTTTCAAATATCACTATTTGGCCAATATCATGTTAGGGGCCATCTGTCAAAAGTTATGAACTGAATTTGCTGGTAAGAACTAGGAGCCTTTCTTTCTGTCAATAACTAGAGAGTATGACCAGCGGCTTTGGAATTTTGAGCAAGTTTGTGACAAAGTCAAGAAATAACAGACTATTGTACATTCTCTTCTCTACAAAATAAGGAATGGGCAAAAGTAGAAATTGATACAATAAATCCAACACATTGGAGTTAGGTCTGGCAATGATATGGTTTAGCTGTGTCCCCACCCAAATTTTATCTTGAATTCTCATGTATTGTAGGAGGTACCCAGTGGGAGGTAATTGAATCACAGGGACAGGTCTTTCCTGTGCTGTTCTTGTGATAGTGAATATGTCTCATGACATCTGAACTATTATATAAGGGTGAGTTTCCCAGCACAAGCCGTCTTCTCTTGTCTGCCACCAAGAGAGATGTACCTTTCACCTTCTGTCATGATCGTGAAGACTCCCCAGACGTGGAACTGTAAGTCCATTAAATCTCTTTCTTTTGTAAATTACCCAGTCTCAGGCATATCTTTATCAGCAACATGAAAATGGACTAATATAAACAGTATGTAGTAAACAGGGCACTGCCACTCAACCACAACCATCTTGTTAAGCCTGAATTTATAGTCCAAATGCAAAGACTTCTTTCTTTGCATTTTTCAAAATGGCCAGATGAAATAGATGCAGAGAACTGACTCCTGGTCTTAACGAGACCATAGCTGTTGTGTGTGCTCAGAACACAGTGCACCAGGGAAGAGGCTCTCTGAAGTCAGAGCCCTGAAGTCAAGGGGGCTGTTCTTACCCTTCTTGCCGTGCAGTGCCCAGCTTAAGACTTCTGGAGTTGCCTCCTCCTCACTGGATTCTGAAGAGTCATGGTCTTGTCCTATCACTGCAGAAAGGAGCAAATGTCTTTTGGAGGTCTCAATATACGACAAAGGAACCAAGACAGAAGAATATTCCATGAAAAGGAAACTAGGAAAAATTTTGCAATGCTCTGAAACTTCAGGGCAAGAATGTCCGTGCCTTCAGACCTCCATCATCCATCTTTTGATTCAAATTTGTGTGGCTCAAGGTTAGTATTTTATCCCTCACTGCCACTTGAGCTTGAGGCTGAGAGACTTTTAGCCCCACTGGGTATCTCTGCTTTGTCTTGGCCCTCTGTCATCTTATACCATGTTATCTTTCTTTGTTTACGTGTCTCTTTATGGATATGTTGTAGTTTTTGTATACGGATTTGTATTTATTTATAAATTTGCTTCTCTCTCAGGGCAACCATGGAAGTCTGGGATTGAAGAAGGCAGATCTTCTACTTGCCTGCTATCCTGAAGAACTGCTTGGAGCAGAGTGCAACCTCTCTCCCATCTAAAAATCCTTGAAATACTCAGTTAAAAAAATAAATTTCTACTACAAAAATAAAAAACCCTCTATTGTGTTGGAGTCATTGACTTCTTTGGGTTTACAGCAGTTAGTCAACCTAACTAATACGAAAGCTAAAATAGGAACCACTGAAATTTAAAGCAAATTTGTATTCTATTCTGAAGGATATAGCAAGGAATTAGACGGACTCTTTTGTAGACAATATTGTTCATTTCGAACCATGAAGAGTTGTATTTTCTCTTACCTCTTTTCCTAAAGCTTTCTCTGAATATAGGCGATTTTCTGCAATCCCTGTGCTCTGTAAAAAAATAATAGAGAGAAACCCGTTATTTGTATACAAGAGACTTATAAATTCTATGACCACTGACACAGCAAATGGGCTTGGGTTAATGATGAAGTTTTGATGAGCATTTTTCTCTCTCCTTCTAGTGAATCTAGTTCCGGGGGTTCGGGATCATAATGCTGGGATTCTGCCCAGCTCTCCCTGCAATCTTCTGTGTGTATTAATTGCAAATGCCTTTTTTAAATTATTTTTTTCAACTTTCATTTTAGGTTTGTGGGTACATGTGAAGGTTTGTCACATGGGTAAATGTATGTCACAGGAGTTTGTTGTACAGATGATTTCATCACCCAGGTATTAAGCCCAGCACTCAATTGTTATCTTTTCTGCTCCTCTTTCTCCTCCCACCCTCCACCCTCAAGTAGACCCCAGTGTCTGCTGTTTTCTTTTTTGTGTTCGTAAGTTATTGTCATTCAGCTCCCACTTACGGGTGAGAACATGTGGTATTTGGTTTTCTGTTCCTGTGTCAGTTGGCTAAGGATAATCGCCTTCAGTTCCATTTATGTTCTCTCAAAAGACATGATCTCATTCTTTTATATTTATTTACTTATTTTCGAGACAAGGTCTCACTCTGTCACCCACGTTAGAGTGTAGTGACACAATCGTAACTCACTGCAGCCCCGACTTTCCAGGCTCCAGTGACTCTCTCACCTTAGCCTCTTGAGTAGCTGGATCACAGGTGCACACCACCATGTCCAGCTAGTTTTTGTATTTTTGGTAGAGATGGAGTTTCTCCATGTTGCGCAGGCTGGTCTTGAACTCCTGAGCTCAAGCAATCCACCTGCCTCAGCCTCTCAAAGTGCTGGGATTACAGGTGTGAGCCACTGCACCTGGTGGTAAATGACTCTTAAATGTCACTAGCTCCCGTTTTCTCATCTACAACGCAGGGATAAACTAGTTATCCTATCTCCCTGTCAAAATTTTTGTGATGGGAAAATGAAGCTTCATTTACAAAAGCCCTGTGAGAAATCCCAATGTAAGCCAATGAGTAAACTATATTTTGAATATGGGTATAGTTGAAGTCACTTTTTTCCCCATCAGTAATGAAATCGCATCACAAATTATTCTTTGAAGACTTTCTAAGCTTGTAATTAAGACAGTATTATCAAAGAATAAAGAAAGACTGTGCTTTTATCATGCTCTATCAAATATAAAGGGTGGTAGTAGAGAATAAGTACATTATTTCAACTCTTTAGCATTAATAGATATGATAGTTCGTTGTTAAAAAGACTTTTACTTTACTAGCATATTATAGCTACATTTTCAATATATCAATCGATTGAACCAATCCAATTAAACAAGAGTTTATGTGACCTTCCTCATGTCTTCCATTTCTCAATAGGACCAGAGAGGTTAAACATAGCAAATGATATTCTAGAACTTGTAGAATCAAGGCATATGGAGACCGCTCAGAATAAAATTAATCAAGGAAACAGACCTCTGGATTTGTACTCTGGATATGTACTCATGATGAAGCAATGTTTTTTTTTTTTGTTTGTTTGTTTTTGTTTTTTTTTTTTGTTTTTTTGAGATGGAGTTTCACTCGTTACCCAGGCTGGAGTGCAATGGCACGATCTCAGCTCACCGCAACCTCCGCCTCCTGGGTTCAGGCAATTCTCCTGCCTCAGCCTCCTGAGTAGCTGGGATTACAGGCATGTGCCACCATGCCCAGCTAATTTTTTGTATTTTTAGTAGAGATGGGGTTTCACCATGTTGACCAGGATGGTCTCGATCTTTTGACCTCGTGATTCACCCACCTCGGCCTCCCAAAGTGCTGGGATTACAGGCGTGAGCCACTGCGCCCGGCGAAGCAATGTTTTATAATATCAAGATGAGGCAATGTTTTATAACATCAAGATGTGGTAATGTTTTCTCAGGTTGCAATTCTAATATTCTTACCTGATACAATCCGAGGTCGTGAACAAGTGGCTTCTTGGTCCTCCTCTTCCTCTCTTAATTCTAAAGGGTTTTCATTATTGACCACTGCACAAAAGAATAGGGTTCTTTACAGGTCTTAGTGTGTAACCAAGGAATCAATTCAGTAGGAAATTCCCTAGTTAGAAAACCTTGAAAATCCATGCAAGTCCTCGCCTGCCCTAGGCCACACTTGTCTTTCCTTTCAAGTTACCTGCGTTGTGGGTTAGTGATACTCCGTTCTTGCCCCCAGAGGGAAACTTTGGTTTGCATGGCCTTTGTTTTCCCATACTTATTTCACTTCTCATCCTTTCTACTTGCCATTCCACATTTCCTTTGTTTCTGCTTCTATTTTTCATGCAGGGAAACCTCGAAGATCTTCAGTTAAAGGTGTGAGCCTCCTCTACCTCCTAGCAACCCAGTGCCTTCCCAAATTGTTTACAAGGCTGAGAAATAATCTTCCCTTGTGTTTGAGCCAAATACATATTTTGGGACTATCTTTTAGAGCAGTTTGCTTACACTAAGATCAAAATTAGGGTACATCCTGTCTAAACACTAAGGCAAATTTACATTTTACTTTGAAAGATACAGTGAGAAATTAGAATGAATGTATTATTCAACATATTGTTATAACATCAAGATGAGGTAATGTTTTTCTTTACTCTAAGGTCTTTCCCTAGTGTATTTCCCCTAAAGTGGCATGTTTCTAATATCCTCTGGATCTAGAAAGTAAAGGGAAAAACAAATCAATCAATTTCCACACTAAAAAGTTATAAATCTTATGCTGCAAATAGAATTGAGATAATACAAGATTTTGATGATGCTGCTCTCTTTCATTTCACAAAGGAAGTAACTTAGAATCCAGAATGCTTGTCTTATCTTTCCTTTAATTTACCATGAGATTTTGGAGATGACTTTGAAACATTTATGTAATTGTGTTTTCTCATCTAGGAAATAAGGATGACAATCTCTATTCTGTTTCCCCTTTTAAGGTTATTGTAAATTTAAAAATAAGACAATTTTCAAAAATCTTTCAAAAGATTACTAAATGCGCCATGACTTGCTGAAGAACTCTATCAGAAACAATACTTCAGGTTTCAGAATACTTTATCTCAAGAGTTTATTTTTGCCAACACCAGATAGTTGGATGAAATGTCTTTTGACCCTATCCAGACTTTGTGATCAGATGACAATAAGATCTTCCCATAAAGGATTGTTTAGCTTTCTGTTCTCTATAAAGATCACAATATAAATCTACACTATATAGCCATAGTAGCGAGTTGGTTTTAAAAATAAACTCATCACTTGGCTAGCCTATTCCTACTATACAATCAATGTATGGGTATGCATATTGATTAATAGAATCCATCAAGAAAGAAGGCTAATTCTCAAAAATACGTTTATAACTAATTTCTTGTCTCCCTGCATTTTCCAAAGGGGTTAAGTAAAATTAATGCAAAGAATGGGATCTCAGGGTAAACTGGACCCAGCCTGTAGAATGAGCTCAGACTAAAATGCATGAGGAAAGAGTAGCTCTTAAATCAGATTCTCACAGCCCAAGCCTTGCTCTCCCAACTTTCCTTACCAGGGTCACGTCTCGGTGCTGAGCTGCAGACTTCTACGGGCTCATCAACATCACTGGATCCTTCAGAGTCCTCACTGCTGATGACTGTGCAAAGGAGCAAAACCCATTAAGAGTCTCAGGGTGTGACTAAGGAGTCCATGCCCCAGAAATTTCCCCAATAAGAGCACTAGGAAGAGCTGGGAAGCTAAGTTAACTCAAGACCCTGAACTGCACCTTGAATGTATACCACCTGCAGTTTGTTCTAAGTTCTTAACCAAAAAGCTGATAAAACTGACACACAGAGGCAGTTGTGCCCACCCACTGACACTTTTCTTATCCCAACCCTCATCCTACATTTTTCTATCACTCTTATTTTATTTCTCATCTTTCCTCTGTTGTGCCATCTCCCCTGCTTCTGCCTCTGTTTCTGGTGATGGTGTCTCTTTATACCTCTTTTTGTCTTGGTCTGTTTCTCCTCACATCTCCTCTTGTGAATACCTTGGTTCCCTGATCTTCTTCTTCTCTTTTTAAAAGCTCCTCTCCTATGCCTTCCTTTCTTACTTTATTTTTATTTATATTTTTCCTTATTTTTTGAGACAGAGTCTTGCTTTGTCGCTGAGCTGGAGTGCAGTGGCACAATCTTGGCTCACTGCACCTTCTGCATGCTGGGCTCAAATGATGCTCCTGCCTCAGCTTCCCAAGTTGCTTGGACTATAGGCATAAGCCACCTTGCCTGACTAATTTTTATATTTTTTGCAGACATGGGGTTTCACTGTGTTGCCCAGGCTGCTCTCGAATTCCTGGACTCAAGTGATCCGCCTGCCTTAGCCTCCCAAAGTTCTGGGATTACAGGTATGAGTCACCAGGTGCACCCCTCTCTGACTTCGGAAGTAGCCTCTCTGACATTCTTACTTAACACCTCCATTTCTGACTTCTGGCATTTTCCCGATTGCTAAGGACTTTGTTCTGTCAAGTTGAAGACTCACTGCATCAGGTGCCAGCCTCTTTCCCTTAGCGCCCCATCCCAAGCTAACTGCACTGCCCCGATGAGCCCTGATGAAGTCCCCAAGCCCCTTACCTGGTAACCTGTGACTCACAGTTACAAATTCTCCCAGTTGGCCTTACCTATTATGTCAGACACCTGGTTATGATTGGTCCTTGCTTTGGCTTGGCGCTCAACTTTTGAATTAAAAAACGGCTTTTCCTTCTTTATATCCACCAGTCGCACAGAACAGGAATTAATTTGGACTCCGTGGTTGTGTAGCTCTGACCCTGGGCCAAATTGTAACAAATGAAGAATTTTCATTTGTCTCTCCTGTGAACTTCCTTCACTATCATTAATAACTCCCTCTCTCACATTGAGATACCATCTCACACCAGTTAGAATGGCGATCATTAAAAAATCGGGAAACAACAGATGCTGGAGAGGATGTGGAGAAATAGGAACACTTTTACACTGTTGGTGGGAATGTAAATTAATTCAACCATTGTGGAAGACAGTGTGGCGATTCCTCAAGGACCTAAAAATAGAAATCCCATTTGACCCAGCAATCCTATTACTGGGTATATATCCAAAGGATTATAAATCATTCTACTACAAGGACACGTGCACACGAATGTTCATTGCAGCACTGTTTACAATAGCAAAGACCTGGAACCAACCCAAATGCCCAACGATGATAGACTGGATAGGGAAAATATGGTACATATACACCATGGAATATTATGCAGCCATCAAAAACGATGAGTTCACGTCCTTTATAGGGACATGGATGAACCTGGAAACCATCATTCTCAGCAAACTGACACAAGAGCAGAAAATCAAACACCGTATATTCTCGCTCATAGGCGGGTGTTGAACAATGAGAACACATGGACACAGGGAGGGGAGCACTACACACTGGGGTCTGTTGGGGGGAAATGGGGGAGGGGCGGGGGGTGGGGAGGTGGGAAGAGATAGCATGGGGAGAAATGACAGATACAGGTGAGGGGACGGAAGGCAGCAAAGCACACTGCCATGTGTGTACCTATGCAACAATCTTGCATGTTCATCACATGTACCCCAAAACCTAAAATGCAATAAAAAAAAAAATAACTCCCTCTCTGCAATTTCACTGCTGGAGATAGACTTTCACCCCACCTCCTTGGTTTTTTGTTGGTTTGTTTGTTTGTTTGTTTTGGTCAAGTCTGTTCCTTCCTTTGTGCCACTCTTGGCTCTGTTTTGTTTTTTAGCTTTCCCTTTTCCTACTCTTCTCATCCTTTGATGGCTAATATTTTACTTTTTTTAAAAAGTAAAAATTATAATCGTCATGTAAGACACATGAATAAAAGTCGGTTTTGAATGATCACAAAGGAAGTAAATCACTTTGATCAAGAAATACCCCAGAAGCCTGCGAATGATACTTCCCACTGTTTCCACTGACTTGCTCAAAGCCAGCTACCATCTAGGCTTCCAACAGCTAGATTAATTTTGCCTGTTGTGTAATTTATATAAATAGAATCATCTTCTCTTTTCTCTTGCTCTTTTCCTCTCTCCCTCTCTCTCTCTCTATATATATCCCCAAAGAAGCCAGATCCCCCAAATTATATGTATATTTTACTCAACATGCTTGTGAAAGTCATCTGCATTCATTTTTATACAATTATTTTCACTGCTATATAGTATTCTGTTACAGAATTAAGCCGTGAAGTATTTATTCATTTATACAATTTCAAACGTTTGGCTTCTATGAATAATGCTGCCCTGAACATTCTTTTCTGTGTGTTTTGGTGAACATAACACACACTTCTGTTGGTTTCTGCTGAGGAACGTAATTGTTGAATTATAGGGTATGTGCATTTTCAACTTTGGAAGATTATCCCAAACTGTTTTCCCAAAAGCAATGTGGATAGACCTTCACCCCACCTCCTTGTTTTTCCTTTTGCTTAACTCTGTCATTGAGCAAAAGGAAAGAGACGAAAGAAAGACAGTTTGCCAAATTCCAGTAAGTAAAGGAATTTGGGGTGGTGGGAATGTGGCGTGAAGGGGTAAGAGGTGGGTGATGGGGAGCATGCAGCTGCATGGTGGGCATCCTTCAATTCACCACTCCAAGCAGTATTGACCTACTGCTAAGGGCCACGTGAAGGCACCGAGTTTCAAACAGGAAAGTCATATCAACTGGTTTCTATTTTGGAAAAGTCCATTCAGCTGAAGTGCAGACTTGAGAGGAGCAAGACTGGAGGCCAGACAGGGGAGTGTTTCTCTAGTTTTAGTGAGAGTGACAGGGATCTGGATTAGGGTGTTAGTGCTGGGGATGAAGATAAATGGACAAGTTAGAGATATTTTAAAGTTAAGATTGACTGAAGTGGCAAATAAAATGATAATTGTTTTAAGCCACTAAGTTTCAGGATGGTTTGTTACATTACACAGCAATAGATGACAGATGCAACTTCTGAGGAGAGATGTTCTTCAGGTCTTTAAATAAAGGTCTTCAGGCAATTGGGGAAAGGAGTCAAGAAGACAGGTCTGAGCTGGAGACGTATGTTGGGAAATCAACAGATCCTAGATGGTGACTGAGACATGGGGAGGAAATGGTGCCTGAAGAGAGGTCTATTGTAATCTGGGGATAGAGGCGGAGTTGCAGGGGCCATTTTGAAAAGGGGACACCCTGTCCTTCTCAACAGTAACAGGATAAATCCTGTGCCTCATTTCCAACTATTGTCTCCTCAAATCAGAATGTCTTGATATGTCTTCTCTCTTCCCTTCTTTCCATGATCCACTCTCTACTAATTTTTCATTCATTGTCCTTTAACTCATTCTCTACATCGTTCTCTTTGTGCCTCTCCCCATTTTTCCTATTTCTTGGTATTTATTTCCCTCTATATTTTTCTAAAGTCATACTCTTTTTATCTATACTTTTTAAAAATCACTGTCTCTTAGAGTCAGAACTAGCGTGAAGTAAAGGTAGTGCCTTGGGGGGCCTTGACATTTAAGGAAGCTCAGTCTCACATGCCAAGTAAAATTTCTTTACATGTTGTGCCCTGGGGACTTTCCTGCCTCATTTCATGCCAGACCTGCTGTCCCTTATATGATGTGCAGTCAGCCCATCTCTGTTACATTTTCTACTTGCTTTGAGTCTGTCTTTACTTCTTAATTATTAATGTTACCTCTGCAAGCTTCTTCTAAGTAACTTTTTTCAAAAATCTTTTTGCATGTGATGTGTGAATGCTATATCGCTTTTTGTCTTTCTGTATTTTCCTTATTTCAAACACTGCAGTCATTACCAAAGGTCTCTTCCAGTGCCATTGTCTACCACACCAGAGTCCCTCCACTTGCCAATTCCTTCCTGAAGGGCTTTCACCTGAGCCTCCTTCCTTTGCAAATATGACAAGCAGCATCATGCATAATTTCTATGTTTTCATGACAACTTCTAAAAAGCAACTTGCAATGTATTTCTGTTCAACAACTCCACAACATGGCAATGTACAGATACCCTGTCACTTTATCTAAAATCTGTCTCAGTCATGTACAGTTGACCCTTGAACAACAGGGGCTTGAACTACATGAGTCCACATGTGTGCAGATTTTCTTCTGCTTCTGCCGCCCCTGAGACAGTAAGACCAACCCTCTTCTTCCTCCTCCTCCTCAAACTACTCAATGTGAAGATGATGAGGATAAAGATCTTTACAATTATCTATTGCCACTTAATAAACAGTAAATGTATTTTCTCTTCCTTATGATTTTCTTAATAACATTTTCCTTTGGTGATGTTTATTGTGAGAATACAGCATATAATACATATGGAAAATATGTGTTACCATCTTTTTATGTTATCAGTAATGATTCTGGACAACAGCGGTTAAGTTTTGGGGAAATTAAAAGTTATGTGCAAATTTTTGACTGTATAGGGCATTGGTACCCCTAACCCCCCATAGTGTCCAAGGGTCAATTGTATTTTGTTATTTAGTTCTCTTAGTTGACCTCTTTTGCACTCTTTCTACTTGCATTCTCTACTCAGGGACAGCCCCTCCATTTAAAAGACTCACTCTCTCTTTCCCTTCCATCCCATACCTGTTAAAAGCAGCCAGAGGCTGTGCACAATGTCTGTGTGTCTTGGGTGGAAATAGGCAGTTAGTATGAGAAAACAAAGGAAAGTTTTTGGCTTATAGAAAAATAAAGATATAATTAGAAATTTGGGGAGGAACAGAGCAAGACATCAGAACAGGACTCTCCAGCCCTTCTTCCCCTGCAGGAACACTAATGTGAACAATTGCCTATGCATGAAAATACCTTTGCAAGAGCTGAGGAAACCAGATGAAAGACACCACCTGGGTGTAGCACAGAAATAAGAAACAGCACATTGAAAAGGGCAGAAAGAAAAGTTTCACATGTCATCCTTTCTCCAACTCCAGGAAGCACAGCATTGAGAGAGATACCATATGTTTGGGGAAAGGAGAAGGAAGTGAGCACCAGACTTTGCCTTGGACCTAAACCACAGAACCATCTTCAGTGCAACCCAGTGCCAGGCAGGCTCCCAAGGCCCCAGACTCCAGTCAATACCCATGGTGTGAACCTCCAAGCTCACTGTGACCCCAACCTAAATCCTGCAGCCCCAGGATTCAGGCCAACTCTGAAAACTTAGTCTCCAGCCTGCTAGAGCACTATTTCAGTCTCTGTGACCCCATGATCTGGACCAAACTGAGTGCCAAACTGGGCTCAGTGGCACCAGGCTTTAGGTCCATCCCAGCAGCAAGCTGGCTTCAATAGCACTGTGCTTCAGGCCCACTCAAGTGCCTGAAGAAGCCTGCACCACTACTGGTGTAGAGCCCTGCAGATTCTGGCTCAAGGTCACCCCCAGCACAGACCTGCCCACTGGTTGCCACAGCCACCAGACTAGTCTGCTTGAGGACTCCAGCAGCAAGCCTGCCCTTGCACCTGCAAAGACTAGGTAAGTCCCTACTTTCTCAAATGCACAGACCAAATGTAAGGCAACAAGAAATATAAAAACCAAAGAGACATAACATGACTAAAAGAACACAATAATCTCCCCATAGCAGACCCCAAAGCAATGGAGATAACAAACTGCCTAACACAGAATTGAAAATAGTTGTTTTAAGGAATCTCAGGAAACCTCAACAAAATACAAAGAAATAATTCATTAAAATCAGGAAGACAATAAATGACCAAAATGAGAAGTTTAACAGAGATATTGAAATTATTTTAAAAAATCAAACAAATTCTGGAGCTGAAAAATGCAATGAATGAACTTTAAAAAGGCATCAGAGAGCATCAA